GATGGTGAGGATTTGGGGGAAAGGGATCCTCATTCTGTTGGTGGGAAAGTTGACCTAATTAGTCTTTGGGAAGCCAATATAATTATTATTCAAAAAAAGTTGCAATTGAGCTTCCATTAAGATCTAGCAATCCCATTTCTCAGAATATACCCCAAGGGTCCGAAAACACGATGCAGAAAAGCCATCTGCACTCCTGTGATAATTGCAACACGATTCACACTAGCCAAAATTTGGAAACAACCCAAATGCCCCAAAACAGATGACTGGGTAAAGAAACTATGGTACAAATACACAATGGGATACTACTTGGAGGTAAGAAAAGATAAAGCCATGCAATGGCTGTTGGTGCTGTGTGGATGGATCTGGGGAGTACCATGTTGAGTTAGTCAGAGGGAGAGGGACAGACACAGAATGACCTCTCTCATCTGTGTGACATAAAGAAACTTCATAAGGGGATAACAAAGCCCAGAAGACAATAGAATTAAGACTAGCAGAACTGTTCTTCAGAAGGAAGTGTGCCACTAGATTGGATGTGGAAAGATAAATGAAAGATAAATTAGGGAAGGGAACATTAGGACAGTGGTGGAGATAAAAAATTCTTTTGAGAGGCAGGACACTGGTGAATGGATTGGTGTTGGAACACTGAATACCTGAAACTTGATAATGAATAACTTTGTACTGTAATTCAGTGACTAAAAATTTAAAAAATAATTGTCTTATTTCAAAACGAACTAAATATGGCAAAATGTTTACTGTATAAACCCAGACCAAGCTATAGACCAGAACTTGTTAAACCTTTTTCACTTTTGATCTTTTTTCATCCAAGAAATCTGCTTTTGAGCCATGCCCACCAGTGCTCGGTGCTTACTCGACTCTGACTCTGTGCTCAGAAATCATTCCTTGCAGTGTTCAGAGGATCATATGTGATGCCAGGGGTCAAACCAAAATCAGTCATCTGTAAGACAAATGTCTGAATGCATGTTATTCTCTAGCCTCCAAGAAAAAAAGCAAATGTATGTGATCCTGAGCATATAGAATGGATAATAAACCATTTATTGATAAAACATATAGAAATGTATTTCAAAACAAAATTTTAAAGTTATGTGATACTAAATAGGGCCATGACACACACTTTAAGAAGTTAGACTATATTCCCCCACAAATTAATACATTAAAATCTACTCCCAAGTGTGACATTAAGATGGGACCTTTGGAATATTTGTCATGAAGATGAAATCATTAGGGACACCCCCTCTCCTGCCCCAAGAGTCCCCTTCTGCCACAAAGGACCTAAGGAGAAAAAAGCAATAAGAAAGAAGGAAGTGAGTCTTTAAGAAACACTAGATAATGCTGGCTCCTTCTTATCTGTAGAAAAATACACGAGAAATTAAGAGGAAAATAATTAAGCCATGGATTGGATAATATTTCTTAATTTGAATTGGATAATCTATTTTAAGATATCTAGGAAGTGGGGCCAGAGAGATAGTATAGTGGGTACGGTGCTGGTCTTGCATGTGGCTCACCAATTCCTAGCACCCAGTATGGTTCCCTGAGCCCTTCCAGTAGTGATCCCTGAATGCAGAGTCAGGAGTAAGCCCTGAGCACTGAAGATGTGGCATAAGAAACAAAACATCTAGGACGAGACATTTCAGTTGATCCTCTAGACATTTTGTCATTTCTTCACAAAATGACCTCAGTTATCACTGCTAAGGAAATTGTATCTCAAGAGTTTTGGTTTTCTAGGAGAGAACAAAAGGGAATGCCCTGCCAGAGGCAGGGTGGGATGGGGAGGATGGTGGGTGGGAGGGATACTGGGATCCGTGGTGGTGGAAAATGGGCACTGATGGAGGGATGGGTATTTGATCATTGTATAATTGAAACCCAAGCACAAAAATTTGTAAGTCTACAACTGTACCTCATGGTGTTTCACTAATAAAAATTAAAAATAAAAAGTTTTGGTTTTCTATTCTATCATTTAAGAAGAGGTAAAGGTGGTTATTATTATTTTTAATTGACTTTTTGGATCACATCCAGCGATGCTCAGGAGTTACTCCTGGTTCTGTACTTAGGAATTACTCCTGGCAGTGCTCGGGGGGGTCATATGGGAAGCTAGGGTCAGTGTGTGTACAAGGCAAACACCCTACCAGCTGTACTATTGTTCAGGTACCCTAGATAAAGGTTTTATGCTTTACTTTTTTTTTTTAAATTAGTGAAACACCATGAGGTACAGTTATAGACTTACAAACTTTCATGCTTAAGTTTCAGTTATACAATGATAGAGTACCCATCCCTCCACTAGTGCCCATTTTCTACCACCAATGATTCTAGTAGGTTTTATGCTTTACTCTTTTTTTTTTTTTTTTTTTTTTTTGCTTTTTGGGTCACACCCGGCGGTGCACAGGGTTTACTTCTGGCTCTGCACTCAGGAATCACTCCTGGCGGTGCTCAGGGGACCATATGGGATGCTGGGAATTGAACCCAGATCGACTGCGTGCAAGGCAAATGCCCTACCCGCTGTGCTATTGCTCCACCCCCCTGCTTTACTCTTTGCTTGTAAGTTTGGCTAGATACAGGGAAATCGTAATCAATTATGCTCATGAAAAAGAATGTAATAGGATAATACTTGTTTATGAAATAGAACAAGATTGCTTAGTTCTTTTTCAGGCAACTTCAAAAGGACATTAACTGAAGACTTTTACCACTGGAGTAGATCTGGTAACAAATATTAAGACTAATATGACAAATATTAAGATCTGGTAACAAATATTAAGTCTAATATGACACTTAAGATTTGGTAGGGGGTTGGCTGGGGGGGGGTTGGAGTTAAAAAAAATTACAACATTACTTACTAGGTGAAAATGGAAAGCAATACTAGATCATAGAAAATGAATATATCATGTTTATTAAAATTTCAGGCAATTAGGCTGGAGAGATAATACAGTAGGTAAACACTTGCCTTGTATATGGTTGAGCTGGTTTGATCCCTGGCACCACACATGGTTCCTCATGACTGCCAGAGCTATCTCTGAGCACAGAGCCAGGAGTAAGTCTTGGGCAGTCAGGTGTAGTTCCCAATCCTCCCCCAAATAAAAAATAAATAATAAAAAAAAACCCCTCATGCTATTAAAAAAAAAAAAGCTTAAACATCTATTGGTACATATCTACTGATATGCCACAAGACATCAAGAATGGTTCTCTCATATTAAGAATGGTTGGGATTACAGGCAATTCTAATTCTTTTGTGTATGTCTTGCCCAACAAATGTATTCATTTTTACATTCAGAAGAAAACAAAGAAAATCACATAAAAATTAAAAAAAATATATCACTAAGCCATCTTTCGATGCTCATTTCTGGTATATTTCTTTTGCTAAACTGCAGACTGCAATATTTCACGATAAAACATGAAGTGGTACAAAAATGTTTTTACAAAGAACTCACATTCCGGAAGTAAAGTGTTTTTACAATTTACAACCCAGTACATTTTAAGAAAACATTTATTCTGGAACACACCTGGTGGTGTTCAGGTGTTGCTCTTGGTAGTGCTAAGTAGATGATGCAGTGACAGGGATAGAACCCAGACCTCCTGTATGCAATGCAAGTTCTATGCTCTTTGAACTATCTTTTCAGTCCAATCCCTTAAAGAGTAAACTCAGATTCTTAACCAAGACTTATAGCTAAAAGATATCTAATATTTTCAAAATCCTACAAAAATTGATTGTGCTTGTAATCACATGCTAGACTTGGTATATACCACAAAAGCAGTGTATAGTGATTGGACCAGAAGGATCAGGATCAACTGTTTTGAGGTCACACCTACTGATGCTCAGGGCTTGCTTCTGGCGGGGCTCAGGGGAACATATACGGGGAGCCAGGTTTCCAACCTGGGTCGGCCACATGCAAGGCAAGAGCCTTACCCGCTATACACTCTCTCTGGCCCCTGAATCGACCTCTTATTTTTGCCATTTAAAATTGTCTTGACAACGTAAATCCCAATTCAAAAAAATAAAAATAAAACCAAAGGGTCCTACTGAGACCACAGAGTATTTCAAGTTTGACTACACACCAGAAAGTCACAATTTAATAAAAAGTACAAATCCCTCCTGTATTTTACCTATTTGCCTTTCAGAGTTCAAAATTTTTCCTGAATTCCAACCATTATGTTGTCAGATACAATTTTGTGATTCCCTTTTCTTGAAAATATAGCATGCCTTTTTTCCCCCCACCTACCACGATTCATTCCATTACCCTTACTTTCATAAATACTGGTATCACTCTTCACTTAAGGGGTTTTGACAATTGTAACATCAAAATGATAATCACAGTGCCTGGACCATGGTTAGGGGCTTCAAAATACTAATTTCACATGAAAGACTCTGGACATGCAAATGGCTTTGATAGATGTTTCCTTGCACAACTGCCTAATAAAATGCAACACATTCTAAACTCCCTTTAAGAACAAAAATGACCAAAAATAAACAATTAAAAAATTAAGAGTAACGAACAGTAACATTACTTCTAAGAATGAAGTATAATAAAACTGAGTCATATATCGACCTAAAGTTAATTTGAAGTCATCTGAATTGATATACAACCTAATATAGCTGAAGTAATTTCCTTTTGTTTCATCTAAAAATGATCAAACAATACATTTTCCATTTACAAAATTATTTATATGTAGTATAAATTATATACGAAATACTATATAACAAAATCATAAATTTTTTGTAAAGGTGTCATCATAAAATAAGACTTTGAACTGAATCTGTACTGTTGAAGGAAATCAGGCATGAAAACGCATAGAACAGAAAGTAGAGATAACCAGTAACAGTTAACAGTTTAGGGCACAAGAGAAACTGTACTGCATAAATAAAAGCTCTTGTGTCTGCTCCTGTGCAGGTAAGGTATTATACCACTATGGTTGTTGATTATAGTTCATCCTTAATTTGTTTCCAAAGGTCTTAAAAAACCTACCCACATTACACAGGAAATTCTCAGTCATCAGTGCAAAAATTTTATTATTCCTTTGTTTCCCCCACCCCCCTTACAAGATTTGAAACTTTTCTTAATCCACAGCATTTTTATTTTCATCATGTCATCAGTTATGTAAAATGTGAGAAAAAAAAAACACAAATCAATTTAAAATCTCAGCCCTCTTCCCCAGTGTTACAGCAAATTTAGGATAAGTCTACAGCATTCACTTACTTTAGCTGGTTCTGATACTGAGGCATATTTTTTTATTTGAGAATCAACGCCTAAAGATTTGGCTAACTGTACAGCATTTGTATCATCACTGATAAGTGTCCCAAGAGCCACAAGAAGTCTAAAAGTGGCTTCGAGGTCTTGTACAACTTCCAGGATTGTGCTAATTACAGACAAGCACTGAGCTTTCCCTTCAATGTTATGGTCGTTATGAAAACAAACAGAATAGTTCAGGGCCAATGTAGCAAGAGCAATGTGAATGTTCTTATTGCTCCCTGATTTCAGTTCTATTGCATGGGACATTAGTGATTCCCTCTGGGACATCATGAGCTTTTGTCCTGCCTCGCCAACAAAACAATTGCAAAAAGTCCTGAGAGCAAGCAGCTGGTTTGCTGGCTTTCCTTTTGGGTTCAGAAGATTGATAAGGTGACTGCTGAACTGAGCCCCTTCCTTTTCACTGCAGAAGTTGTCATTCACACTGGGATGCTTAATTGACAATCGAAGAATGTCAAGTGCAGGAAAGACAATATCTGTTAGAAAGAAAAATTCATTAACATTTATGAAAATTCAGACAATTCCTATGACAATTACTCAATCTAAAAAGACTTTTGTTTTTGTTTTGATGCCACACTCAGCAGTGCTCAGGAGTTAGTACCGTATGAGATACAGGGATGGAACATGGGCAGTCATAAGCAAGGCAAATGCCCTACCTGCTGTACTACTGCTCCAGCACCAAGGACTACTTTCTTGATACAAAATGAAAATACTAACATTTCAGATGTTAAAAATCACGAACTGATCCCATATGATCCATAATCTCCTATGAGGGGTTCAAGCACTTATCTTTGCACATTACCAGCCCTGGTCAGATCCCGGGCACCACATGGATGGTCACTTCACACAACAAATTACTGGGTGTGGTCCCAAAACTACCCACTCCAAGGGACACACACAGACTAAAACAGTGTTTATGAGAATTAAGTAGACACCACCTGGATAAACCTATTAGACAATCAGGTAGCATCAGCTGTAAGAGATATACCTCACAATCCAAAAATAGAAAATAAACCAAAAACACCACTGAACCAAAATCTAATCATAGCATGATTCTCATAATCATGAGAAACAGAACAAATGAAGTGATCCGTCAAATCTATAATATAGGAACATTTTACAGGGGGGAAAAAAAAGACATGTTTGCCCAACAAGTACCATTAAGAAACAACAGAGGAAAGGACAGTATTAGAATGACATTTATTTATTTTTTGTTTTAAATGCAGTCCCCCATTCACTACAAATTATGTAGCTGAATTTCCCACATTTGGGGAAACTGCAGGTGTCAGCACACCAGGAGTGCAATGAACAAGCTACGCCCTGAGAAAACCACCTTCATGATAATGGTATCTCCCAACTAGTTAAGTATAGGAAGATTTAATATTTAAGTGAATAAAAAAATAAGGAGGCAGGAGAAGGCAGGGACTTGGCACTAAGGAGTGGAAAATATGTGTGAATCCACAAGCCTCTAAGTTGAATCTCCGACACTGCATGTCACCAAAGTACCACCCGGCCTAACACTAATGCCCTCAAGCACTGTTGGGGAGGCTCCTGTTTGCGGGGGGGAAAAAAAGGGCAAAAAGCTTATAACAAGTATTGGTATCCTAGAATTAAATGACCACAAAGAATTTGTTGACAAATGCCCTGAAAATACACAAAATGGTACATGTATGGCTATATTAATTACCTTTAGGTTCTCTTACAACACACCATGGATTAGTGGGAGACGTTTCCTTTCGTCAAGTTTTTTACAATGGGAAATATGTAAAAGTAAAAGTAAAGTAAAGGCCCTCCCGTTGATCATCGATTTGCTCGAGCGGGCCCAGTAACATCTCCATTGGAGACTTTGTTGTTACTGTGTCTGGCAGATGGAATACGTCACGGGGAGCTTGCCAGGCTCTGCTGTGCGGGCGAGATACTCTCGGTAGCTTGCTGGGCTCTCCGAGAGGGGCGGAGGAATCAAACTCGGGTCGGCCATGTTGGCTGCGTGCAAGGCAAACGCCCGACCGCTGTGCTATCGCTCCAGCCGCAGTGCAAATTTTACTCATTCTAGAAACTCCAGTAATGTTAGAAATGTAAAAGTGTGCTTTCTGCTTTTTGTCAACATTATATTTTTTATTTTTTGAGTCACAGCTGACCACGTTCAGGAGCCACTCCTGGCAGTGCAGGAGAAACCCACAGTACGGAAGGACTGAACCAGGGTTGGCATCGTGCTAGTCAAGTGCTGTACCGCCTGTACTCTCTCTCTAGCCCTTTACTGAGACAGAAAAAGTATTAATATACCTTCAGGCCAGTTAATGGCTTTCCACAAAATCTGCAGTTGCTGGGTTGTGGGTTTTTCTGAAGAACTATCACATATTAGAGTCAGTATTTTTTCCAGAAGAATCAAGTCATCCTCAGTTAACTTCTTTTCTTCTGGTGCAGTTCCATTAAGTTCCTTCAATTTACCTAGAACCCCAAACCAAAATTTTCAAAATTCTCTGTCTTTATGCAATTAGGTAAAGATTATACATAAAAACTTGATGCTCAAGTTTTTTCAGCACCTGTTCAGCATCAAGGAACTTATAGGTGGATCGGCAGCTTGACCTCATGCAAATGATCAAATGCTCATATGTTCAAGGTATAAATATCTGTTAGTTCTTATTGATAGCTTCAGTGTATGGGCAGAAGCTTTTCCAATCTGTACTGAGAAAGCCACAGAATGGCTTGGTGTTTCTGGGTCCAGTAGAAAAATCTGGACACAGGAAGTCATTTTTCAATCAACCAAACCTGTTTGTATACAGAGTTAATCCTTTTCATTGTATTAATGATAGAGACCACTCTCCGCACACATGAAGGTACTGGCAGAGGGACAAAGCCACGCGGGTTCCGGGGCCGAGATCTCCAAGACCACTCGGATTGGAGTTGAGCATCCTCCACCCAGATCCTCCAAATTCCAGTAGGCGGGGGTCACACCCACCACCTGGCCCCCTGGCGCCGTATAATCCCATCAGCGGCCAAGACTCAGAGACTATAAAAACCAGATCTCGGAAGAGAAGAGTGCAGTCTTCTGCCCCCGCGCCTGACTGTCCTCGCTCGCCGGGACCCCTTGGAGGGGAGCGGGTTGAGCTTTCCTCCCCGCCCTGACCAGGGCTCCGGCAGCCAAAGACCTCCAGGACCAGCCACCACCATGCCGAGACCACTCTCCGCACACATGAAGGTACTGGCAGAGAGACAAAGCCACGCGGGTTCCGGGGCCGAGATCTCCAAGCCCACTCGGATTGGAGTTGAGCATCCTCCACCCAGATCCTCCAAATTCCAGTAGGCGGGGGTCACACCCACCACCTGGCCCCCTGGCGCCGGGTAATCCCATCAGCGGCCAAGACTCAGAGACTATAAAATCCAGCTCCCGGAACCGTGCAGCCGCATTCGCGGCCACTCAGCATCTTATCAGGACATCTTTTTATGACATCTTATTATCCCATTCCTACTTTGGACAAACTTGCAGGCTATCAAATGTAGCCTGCCCACAGGGCAGAGTCTGGCAAACTCCCCGTGGCGTACCAAATATGCCAAATACCAGTAACAATGATGGGTCTCATTCTCCTAAAGGGCCTTGAATATAATCTCAGGGCTAGGATGAAAGAGACGTTACTGGGGCCTGCTCGAGGCAATCGACGAATAACAGGATGATGAATGAATGAATGAATATACATAAAAACTAACATTTTATATAAAAATAACCAATATGGATCATGAGGAAGACCATAAAGACAAAGCTCATTAGTATTTCCAGAGGGCCTGAGCATAGTCACTAATGCCAGGCCTTGTGATTGGCACTGCTTGCAGCACAGCTCATCCCTGTCTTGCTGGAATTTTCCAGGGATAAACCTGGCAGACCTTGGGGTGGAATCTGAGGCCCTTGGATGCGAAGCATGCACTCCAGCTATCTGAGCTATCTCTGCAGCCCTCACTCTGAATAAAGAACCACACTGTAACTGCAATTACTGTAAAAGATCTTCAAACAAAATTACATTACAAACACCCACATATATCTTAACCCCTATTTTTCCAGTGATTAAGGTTTGCATAATTTTAAGAGGTTTCGGTCAACTTATGCCAACTTTCTAACTATCAATGAAATAATCTCAGTCCAATGTCTTTTTGTAGTATATAATTTGATTCCTTAGTTTCCTATGTGTATATTTGGTATCAAATTATCTAAAAAACACTTGAGTATCTTTTTACCATATTTCCATTTCATACTACAATTTTCTTCACCTTTTCACATGCACCTTCAATATGGACATCTTTTTCATCAGTGACGTTTCCCCAAAGTATTTACCTCAAAGAATAAAAAAATCCCCAAAAAGCAAAAAAAAAAAAAAAAAAAAAACCCAAACAAAATTAATTTAAAAAATGGGGGCTGGAGTGATAGCAGAGCAGGGAGGGCATTTGCCTTGCACAGTGCCAACCCGGGTTCGATTCCCAGCATCCCATATGGTCCCCTGAGCACAGCCAGGGATAATTCCTGAATGCAGAGCCAGGAGTGACTCCTGTGCATTGCAAGGTGTGACCCAAAAAGAAGAAAAAAAAAAAAAGAATAAAAAATCCCAAGAGCTTTTAGAAGTTTGAGAGAAAATATTTTTTTTCCAGAATTTGTATTTTTTGAATAATCTTAACAGAAATTTTCCTCAATATTTTTTGGCACTGTCACTGTCCTCCCATTGTTCATCAATTTGCTCAAGCAGGTCCAGTAACACTGTGAGACTTGTTACTGTGATTGGCATATTGAATACGTCACGGGGAGCTTGCCAGGCTTTGTCGTGCGGGCGAGATTCTCTTGGTAGATTGCTGGGCTCTCTGAGAGAGGCGGAGGAATCGAATTCAGGTCGGCCGTGTCGGCCGCATGCAAGGCAAACGCTCTAAAGATCTTATATTAATAAAATATTAAAAACAAGTTTCATAGGACTGGAGAGAGATCTCAATGGGTTGAACACGCATGCATGCAGGAGACCCAGGTACGATCTCCAACACTGCATGACCCTGAGAAAAGAGCAATAGTACAGCGAGTAGGGCGTTTGTCTTGTGCACAGCCAATCTGAGTTCGATCTCTGGCACTCCATATGGCCTGAGCCCACCAGGAGTGATCCCTAAGTACAGAGCCACGAGTAAGCCCTTGTAAGTAAGTGTTGTGTTTCGTCATCCTCAAAAAACCCCAAACATCATGGTCCCAACTAAGTACTGCCAGGTATGACCCTGGAACTCTGTATTGGGAGCAAACTCTGAGAACTGTTGTGTGTGGCCTCAAAACTAAATAAAGAAAAATTTATTCCAACAAATGCAAAGAGGGAGGCTGGAGAAATAGTATAGTGGGCAGGGTGCTTGCCTTGCACACAGCCAAACTGGATTTGATCCCTGGCCACCAATAAGCTGGCCTGAGCACCACCAGGAGTGATCCCTGAGCACAGAGCCAAAGGAGGCCCTGAGCAATGTCAAGTGTGGCCCCACAATTTTTATTAAAAAGAGAGATAAATGCAGAGGTTTGAAAAATAAAGTATATTTTTATTTATAAAATATAAATATTTTTTATATTTTTATTTTATTGTATATTTTTATTTATAAAATACAGCACGCACAGCGGGTAGGGTGTTCGCCTTACACGCGGCCAACATGGCCGACCCGAGTTCGATTCCTCCGCCCCTCTCGGAGAGCCCGGCAAGCTACCGAGAGTATTCGATATGCCAGACACAGTAACAACAAAGTCTCCAATGGAGACGTTACTGGGCCCGCTCGAGCAAATCGATGATCAACGGGAGGGCCTTTACCTTTACCTTTACTAATGATTACCAATTACTACAAAGGTTACCACCAACTTTTTAAAAAATCATGTATTTTAATATGAATGTTATCTTTCACTGTCACTGTCCTCCCGCTGTTCATTGATTTGCTCAAGCGGGCCCAGTAACGTCTCCATTGTGAGACTTGTTGTTACTGTGTTTGGCATATCAAATACGTCACAGGGAGCTTGCCAGGCTTTGCCATGCGGGCGAGATACTCTCGGTAGCTTGCCAGGCTCTCCAAGAGGAGCGGAGGAATCAAACTTGGGTTAGCCATGTTGGCTGCGTGCAAGGCAAACGCCCTACCCGCTGTGCTATCACTCCAGCCCATGTTATCTTTATTGCAACTAAATTTCTGGGGCTAATGGAGCTAACGTTTACCCTAGAAATACTCTTTTGTTTTTGAATAAACAAATTAATGGCAAAAAGTCCTTACAGCCAACTGAGCAGGTCCTTTTTTGAGTGACGGTGATTTTGAAGGTTAAACCTTGAGTCTCACACATGCAAGGCAAGGGCTCTCTTGCAGCTTATATCCATGATCTACAGTAGTTTTATTCATTTATTCAGCAGTCACACCCAGCAGTACTCTCAACAACTCATCTCCATATTAGGGTTGTTCCTCAGGGAACTCAGAAGACCATGCAGTGGTAGGGATAGAACCTGGACCTCCAGAAGCATGTGCTCAACCCACTAAGCAATCAGTTTTATTTTTTGGTGTTTTTGTTCTCAGCTCATACTTGGCAATGCTCAGAGGTTACTTTTGGCTCGGCACTCAGGAATCACTCCTGGCAATGCTCAGGAACCATATGGGATGCCAGGGATCAAACGTGGGTCAGCCATGGAAGGGAAGTGCCCTTCCTGCTGTACTTTATCTCGGAGCCCATCAGTTTCATTTCTGATGGCTAATTTAGTCTGTTATTATCCGAAGGTTCATTAATTTTAAACTTAAGTTTAGAGGTGGGGACTGGCCATTCCTGGCGGTGTTCAAGCATTAACTGTGGCAATGCTCAGGGGACCACATGTAGTGCCAGAGACTAAACTGGGACCAGGTACATATAAAACAGGTGACTTATCCTCTACACTATCTTCCTGGCTTATTATTATATTATGAAGGTTTAGAGGTCACACTTATAAGAGCTTGGAGACAACCCCTCATTAATGTTTAAAAAACAAAATATTATTTTTAAAAAAATGTTTTATTTGTATGTTTTCATTTTTCTGAAACATCAAATGATTGGGAGATGACATAATTATTCTCATTTTTTGTCACTAAAGTCATCATAAAGTATATCTGCACAAGGCTTCTTACAAAGTATTATGGGTTCATCGTCAAGTTATCTGTTTACAATCAGCATTTATGCAATACCACAGAATGTCTTCAGCATAAAATTCCTGAAGAACATCTATAATATGTAAATACACTAAGTTATTAAAATACACTTACCTAAAATTTGCGTAGGGTTTGCTTGATCAAAACTGACAGCCTCCTTTTTAGGGAAATAAATGTTCACTGTTTTAGATGTAGCTGATCGATAAGCACTATTTCCTATTTTCAGAAGAGAAATCGATGAAAATCATAAGGAGTGTTGATTTTAATTGATTAATCAACTTTTCTCAATTATTGATATATAATTATTCTGTTCACCCAATAAAATAACAAGGTAAAAAGGTAAAGGTAAAGGCCCTCCCGTTGATCGTCGATTTGCTCGAGCGGGCCCAGTAACGTCTCCATTGGAGACTTTGTTGTTACTGTGTCTGGCATATCAAATACTCTCGGTAGCTTGCCGGGCTCTCCGAGAGGGGCGGAGGAATCGAACTCGGGTCGGCCATGTTGGCCGCGTGTAAGGCGAACGCCCTACCCGCTGTGCTATCGCTCCAGCCAAGCAACCTGAGAAATTAAAGAAAAAAGTTGTTCGCAAGATTCTATTATTTACTATATTTTTTCTCATAAACAAGTTTAGAATTTGAATTTAAATACAAATCAATGTCTTTTAATGCTTTTGATTGTTTGCTCTTGGGCCACACTGGCTGAGCTCAGGGTTTACTTCTAGTTTTACACATAGGGATTACTCCTGGTACGCTTGGGTATTGAAGTCAGGTTGGCCTTGTGCAAAGCAAGTGCCTTACTTGCTATACTATCTCTCTAGCTCCATCAATTTCTTATCTCTTATTTCTTCCATAAATTTAAGACTAAATCTAGTCACAGTCCACAGTCCTCCTGTTGTTCATCAATTTGCTCGAGCGGGCACAGTAACGTCTCTATCATGAGACTTATTGTTACTGTGTTTGGCATATTGAATACATCACGGGTAGCTTGCCAGGCTTTGTCATGGGGGCGAGATACTCTCGGTAGCTTGCCAAGCTCTCCAAGAGGGGTGGAGGAATCGAACTCGGGTGGGCCATGTTGGCTGCGTGCAAGGCAAACGCCCTACCGCTGTGTTATTGCTCCAGCCCAAGACTAAATCTAAATTATAATAATTTTAAAAAGAAAATAAAACAATTAGGAAACTTTCCTTTCTCATCTTCCCTAAGACATAATAAATTCTATTTTATTTTTTGTTTTGCTTACTTCAAGTATGCATTGTCATTTTCTCAAAAATCATTTTCTATTGCATTTTAGCAAATTCTTTCAAGTTATATAGTTCTCAAAGAACTAGGGTCTTAGTTTTTGATACAGTTTTTACTTGCTTCCTCCCAACTCTCTTCTCAGGGTTTTCCAGGACTTGAGCCTGTCAGGATTTCACTGGCCCGAGTGGCAAGAGGCTTAAGATAACCTAACTCAAACTTACCCTGGACAGTTCTTTAAGCCACTGAACCCTTCTTCTGTGTCCTTTCCCACAGAGGCTCCCAAAGAGGATTGCTTCTGTGTGGACAAGCGGTGAGGAAGTTTGACTAACTCGCGGCCTAAAGCCACTGAACCATCTCCCAGGGCCACATTTTCACTAATTTCCTATTTACAGTGATCAAAATTTAGAATCTGATGATGAAAACAAAATAGTACAGGGAATAAGTTCAGCAAAGGTGGAAAGACAGTAAAGGTATAAGGTATCCTAAGCTGGTTTGCATGCAGCTGACCTGGTATAAATTTCCAGCACCACCTATGGTCCCCTAAGCACTGCCAGAGGACAGCGGAGTAATCTCTTAACACAGAGCCCTGAGCATCGCTTGGGTGTAGCACAAAATATACAAACAGGAAACCCTCAAAACAACAACTACAACAACAACAAAAAACACCACAATTGCCCTCCCAACAAACTGATAAACAGATTCTGTAAGTGAAGTGAGGAAACCTGCCACACTATAATAGAATGGCATTTTTCAACTCTGGATGAATTAGAACCACAGTGGAAGATTATGAAATTAACTTTGCTAAGGTCTCAATCTAGAGAAATATAAGACTAAATTAAAAAGTTCTTCAATGAGGTTCGTTAAATTTCTTTTCCCCCTCTACCTGAGTTGGCAACAGTTGAGTTGGTAGTTTTTAACTCCACCTCATACAAAAGGCAAGTGTTCTACCACTGAAAATCACCCCAGGCCACTGAAGTACTTTTTGTGTGTTTTGCTCCTGGGCCACAAGGTCTGGTGCTCAAGTGCTACTCAGGCACTATTGTCTCAGCTTACCGCAGGAGACATGCAGTGCTGGGAATCAAATCTGGTCCACCTGCATGCAAAGGTACGTGTTCTCTCTCTGGTCCCAAGTACCCCAGGTGTAGGGCAGTTAGGACTGAGAAGGGACCTTTATGACATTCATAGTTAGAAATGATCACTCTGGACAAGTAAGAGTTGAAAGTGGGTAAAGCAGTATACGTGATAACTTTTCAGTATCTGTGTTGCAAATCGTAATGCCCAAAGGAACTGGGGGGGGGGGGGGTACGGGGGAAGGAGGGGGGGAGAGAGAGAGAGAGAGAGAGAGAGAGAGAGAGAGAGAGGAAAAGTACAAGAAAAGAGTATCATAGAGGCAGGTGGGGGTGGGGGTGGCGGAGGGAAACTCAGACCACTGGGGGTGGGAAATGTACACTGGTGAAAGATGGGAATTGAAACATCACATGACTAAAACGCATCATGAACAACTTTGTAACTGTGTATCTCACTGTGGCATAATTTAAAAAAAAAGAAAAGAAAAAAGAAATCCTCAGGTATGTAATAATGATAAAATTCTCAAGACTTCAGAAGCCAGACTGACAGACTGAGATAAGTTCTGGTCTTGATTTACTTGATATAGAAAGTTCTGAATCAAGAAAGAAACCAATTTTTTTTATATAAGAGAGATGCTTAATAAGGCATCAACAATATTCTCTATATTAATACAAATGTTTTCTAAACACACTTCATTATTTATGTCTGTATTTGAAAACTCATTATATCAGAGTTTTTATCTCAGAGTATTTATTTTTATAATAATCTTGTCATAATATTAAAAAATAGCTACTTCTTTATAAATGTAAAAATTTGACATGTAATGTAGTGCTTTCTCTTTTTCTTTTTTTTTTCTTACTCACACGTTTATTTCCTTGCCTATCTCTATTCCAGAGAAGCCTGTGTTCTCTCTCGAATACTTCTCCCACTCTCTCGCCTCACATTATTTTTTTTTAAAATTTTTTTATTAGTGAAACACCATGAGGTACAGTTATAGACTTATAAATTTTTGTGCTTGGGTTTCAGTTATACAATGATCAAGTACCCATCCCTCCACCAGTGCCCATCCTCCACCACCACGGGTCCCAGCATCCCCCCCACCCCCCACCCCTACCCCATCCCACCCTGCCTCTGTGGCAGGGTATTCCCCCTTGTTCTCTCTCTCTTCTTTTGGGTACTGTGTTTTGCAAGAGAGGCACTGAGTGGCAATCATGTTTGGTCTATAGACCACTTTCAGCATGCCTCTCCCACCCTGGGAGGGTCCTCCCAACACCCTTTATTTGTTGCTCTCTTCTCTATCTGAGCTTCCTTTTCCCCTAGCACGTGTGGCTGGCCTTCAAGTCATGGAGCAAAATTCCTGGTACTAATCTCAGCCATTCCTGGGTGTTAGTCTCCCTTTTTGTTGCTTTATGTTCCCCAGATGAATGCAATCTTTCTGTGTCTATCCCGCTCTTTCTGACACATTTCGCTTAAAACATGATACTTTCCATGTAGTACCACTTGTATGTAAATTTCATGACTTCTGTCTTTTCTAACAGCTACATAGTACTCCATTGTGTAAATGTACCAAAGTTTCTTTAACCAGTCATCTGTTCTCAGGCACTCAGGTTTTTTCCAGATTCTGGCTATTGTAAAGAGTGCTGCAATGAACAAACAATTGCAGATGTCACTTCGACTATACCTTTTTGCCTCTCTGGGATATATTCCCAGGAGTGCTACAGCTGGGTCAAATGGGAGATCAAATTCTAATTTTTTGAGAATCGTCCATACAGTTTTCCAAAAGGGTTGGACCAGCTGGCATTCCCACCAGCAGTGAAGGAGGGTCCCTAAGAAAGAAACCAATTTGACAGTCTTTCATTACGTGAATGTTTCAATAATTTTTATTTGTTTCTGGGCCACACTTGTCGGTACTCAGAGCTTCTCCTGCCTCTGCGCACAGGGCTTACCCTTGGTGTGGTTTTGAGGGTCAAACTCAGGTCAGCTACAAGGCTTGTATGTACAAGGCAAATGTCCACCTGCTGTACTATCATATCACTGTGGCCTTTTTTTTTTTTTTTTACATTTTTAAAGAAGAAGAAGAAGAAAAAAAAGAAACGAAGAATATGTACCAGTAAAGGGATCAACTCCAGGCATGGTAGCTCCCACACTTGCAGAACCTGGCACGTAACGACCACTACCTAAAATAGAACAATACTACAATAGTAAACAAAGGTAACTGTATTACAAAGTTCAAATTGCTCATTCTGTACATAGAATACATTATTTCAATATTAGTCAAACTATGGCATTTTATACACAGAGCAAGCTGTACATTTAATCCAGAGAAATGCTCTGACGGGTACCTGACAATGTACAGTACCCAAAAATACTAGTCAGAAAAAGTAATTCTGAAACAACAAAACGAACATTAGGTGCCTCATACTTTATAAATACAAAGTTTAATAAATTACAAAGCCATAGTGGATTAGTAAGAAAGTAAAGAGAATGATAAAAAAAAAGAAACATTAAGCTATTAAAATAAGGACACAGGAATGCTGGCAAAAAGAACTGGCGGAAGTGAGACAAGTGAGACAAGGGAATGGTTTGGGATGTTATGACAGAAGTTTCGTCTCATGTGAGAGATAAACTTGTGACTGTCTCATTAGACAGGGAAAAGAACTTTAAAAACAAGTGTTGGGAGAAGTAGGAGAATTTGGACATATTCACAGCCTAAATCACCCTTTGTGAGAAATAGAAACGAGCTATTTTTCAGAATCATGAACATAATGTTTAGCCCCTCTGGATTTAAGAGCTAGGAGTTCATATTGCTGATGTGACTCAAGGAGAAAAACCAAACACAGATTTAAATAAGATTAGTTAAAATAATTAAAAAAAACTCTAAGTGAATTTGTCAAGCTTTTTCTACAACTGGCATGCAAAACCACCTCATATTCATATAGTCATTTAAGTATGAGAAACATTATTATTATTCTTCACACTGTTTTAGAAGAGTAAGGTGAATAACTAGACCAAGGCAGTAAAAGGCATTAAAAGGCAGTGATGCACAACATTTTCCCAAATTTTATTCTGTAACCTCTAGAATAAATCATCTGGTCAACAAGCAGGTTTCTAGAACCTGCCCGTATCATAAAACCTAGTGATTTTCCAAATGGCTTCACTTTGGAAACTCAGGAAACTTTAGAAACTACTTAACAGCAAACCATACTCAATATCATTTCATCAAAATCTCTTACTGACAGACCAATGTATCAATATTTCTAATGTCCTCACGAATGTGTGTGTATAAGCTCTGTGGGTAAGACCTCATGATAACTATTTAAAATAAGCATTCAGATTAGACATTTGAGAATCATATAAATAAGGAAAAGAAAAAAAGAATTAAGACACTGACCTTAAGCTGTAATTCAGATGGGAAAATTTTTTGACCCCCATGTTACTGGTAAAATTGGGGGAGCAACATCAATGGTAGCTATCATATACTGATGGCTTATATATTCCAGGCCTTTGCTAAATATTTGACATGTATCATACCATATAATTCATATTGACTCAATATAACATTGCTATTTTTTAACAGTGTGGTTCAAATATTTTAATAATTCTAATTTCCCTTAGAAATATAGTATGCTACCTTGCCTTATCTACATAATCACTACATCTTCATATTTACTGACACTGTGCAACCATGAGACATGCTCCTATTATGAAGGCCCAGGAGTATTCTTGATTTTGTTGGTATTGTTTGAAGGTTGGTATGTTCTTTCTGGTCAAATGAGATTTCTGCCAATGAGATTCAGGATCTCTGTTATTCTAGGTTTTAGGGCATCACTCTGCCTGAATAAGCTGGTAGAGAAGGCCGTCCTCTATCTACTCTTCCAATCCTTACTATCCGTCCAAACTGCACTGTCCTCCAAGACTTGTTTCACAGCCACTGTACCATCACAACACTTGGCTTGAGAGTTGGTTATTGTAAGATACTGGTAGCTAATGCACAGGGTGAAGCTATTTTCATCTGAGCTATCAATTCATTCAAGAAGTAAGGAAGTTCACGAAGAACATTTCACAACTGACCCAAGGCTGTGTGCCAGTTGAGTCTATGGCTGAGACAAAATTGCACACTGTCACTTTAGGAGCAATTTGGAAATTTAACAGATTCCATAAATGTTATGAATCTCTTCCCAACTTCGGCATATAGTTCAGGAATGCTGGCTGAAGATCCAGCCACAGCATCATAAATTATACCCAAAGCTATTCTGAAAACAAAGACTTCTTCGGCTGCACTGAAGTCCAAGTCTGACAATTTTTTTCCAGGAGTGGTGATGCCGAGGCATGCATACCTTGGTAATTAAAGTCACTTTGAGGAGATACAGCAACAGTTCCAGGGCTTCATGAAGGCCACTAATAAGTTAGATTAGGAAGACTAGTCCTGGATAGCTGTGTGGACTGCCTCCTTCCATGCTAAGGCAAATATGCCTGGGCAGACTTCTTGATTGCACTGCTGCATCCAGTATCAGGGACTCAACCTGGATCCTCTGTTCGTGAAGCAGCTCGCCAGTGAGAGCACTCATGCTGTGTCTTGGCTGATGGGGTCCCCTATTATCTAATTTCACAGATAAAAAAAATAGGCTCAGACAGGTTAAGCAACTTGCTGACTTCTCATAGCAAGTAAATGGTAGAGCCAGAGTTTGTACCAAGTCTGTCTGACTCTAACACCTATGCCTTTAACTACTCTGCTCTGCAAGAAGTACCAACGCAGAAAACGGTGTGCTCTATTAATATTTAAAAGTCATGAGGAAAGCTACAAAATCACTCGGGAAAAAAGCAAAAGCAAAAAAAAAAAAAAAAACAATAAAAACCAAAAAAAAAAAACCGAGAAGTTAAAGGAGATTCGTCAATACAGATACAGGCAATTATCAGTTATGAATTACATTTCAAAATGTAAAACCATACAAATGCTATAAAATTATCACAGAACTGTATTGAATCAAAACTGCATCCCACCTGTAAAAGGATCTGCTGCTGCAGGCACTGTGTTAGAAGATCCAGAGGAAGAGCCTGGAACATACCGACCACCACCTGTGCACACAAAGGAAAAGCTGAAATAGGCCAAAAATTTGAATTTCACAAATGGCTAAAAGCTCTCATTAGGAGAGAACTTTTTTTTTTTCATTTTTCTAGAAAAAGAGAAGAGCAAGACCAGATGATAGACTAATAGACTGGAAATCATTTAGTTTTCAAAGCACTAAAACTAAGATTTCAGTGAGTATCTCAGTTCTGTCATAACATTGATACAGCTATTACTTAGCTCCCGCACTTACACATTTACAATAATTAGGAATTCAACAATAAAGACATTTTTATAGGTGGTCTCTGACCTATGTAATATACACATAAAAATCAACACTTATTCCTATACAAATCCACTAGAAATCCTGCTGTCGTTGTTGCAATAAAACCACAGGCATTAATGATAATCTTTTATAGATCCCCTATATTCATTAATTCATGTGTCAAACAGTGCATTCAGTATTTTGGATCCAGCAGGGAATAAGATTGCTTTCATCCACCAAAGCTTACAAAGTACTGGGGAACAGAATTTTAAGTGGGAATGCCACAAAGGAAACGGACTTGTACGTATACATTTACAAAGGTGTGATGTGTGTGAATATGTTTTGTTAGAACCTTTAGGAAAACAATCAGAGGCTGCCATAAAAGGATGGATGTAAAGATGCTTATATATCAAAGAGAAAAATAAAAAAAAAGGTCAAATAGTTTTCTTATTTCCCGAGCTAACTGCTTTATTATTAGATGTCTGCCCTAAAAAATAGCTTACATGATACTATATGTAATCTATGTTTATGCTTTTTTTTTGGTGGATGGGAGGGATTGGGCCATGCCTACATGTGCTAAGGGCTTATCACTGGCTCTGCACTCAGGAATCATTCCTGGTGGTGCTTGGGGTCCATATGCAGCACAAGGGATCAAATTTGGATCACTTGGTACAAGACAACTGGCCTGCCTGCTTATTATCTCTTTGGTCCTAATGTTCTATTCTTTTGCACTGAAACCTGAACTTATACGATATATTTATCCAAGTAATGAACACACTGGCCATGGCTATTGGAGCTTAGGATGACCATAGGGCACATCAAGCCAGGAGACTGAACCGGTTGTTCTCCAGTGCTGTGAACGACCTCTCCTACCTATACGTGCTCTTTTTCACTACCCCTAGTGGGGACTGGAGCGATAGCACAGTGGGTAGGGCGCTTGCCTTGCAAGCCCGGTCAACCCAGGTTTGATTCCTCCGCTCCTCTCAGAAAGACCAGCAAGCTACCAAGAGTTTCTCACCTGCACAGCAAAGCCTGGCAAGCTACCCGTGATGTATCTGATATGCCAAACACAGTAACAAGTCTCACAACGGAGATGTCATTGGGCCCGCTGGAGCAAATCGATGAATAACGAAAGGACAGTGCAGTGCAGTGCAGTGCAGGACCCCTAGTGGTGGACTTACATTATTTATAGTGCAGTACTAACTCAGTCTAAGATTCTAAGTCAGCCTGCAAGTGAGATCAGTTTTATCATATGAATGAGCAACGAATGTGAATGAGCAACGGAATAATGAACTAGGAGAAAAAAATAAATTTGAGAATATAAAGTATTTTGAAGAGAAAAAGGGGAGATGTACATAAAACTTAAGAGGGAAAGAGAATATGAGTATAATGACAAAAGGAAAACATTAGCAATAAATTGTAAATTTCAAATTGTACCTGTACCTAAGAGGAAGCATTTTACTTCTGTACCATGGCTTCAGTTCCCAGAACCCAAAACAGAAAAATTCTACTAGGATTATAATTTATAAACTGGTATGAGAACATAATCCTACTTATAATATTTCAGACTTTAAATAGAAAATAAAATAGTCAACAGGTTCAGTACTGGATTTTCTACACAAATTAGCCTCAGATGAAAACTGGTTTCTATTTAATAATAATGCCCAAACAGACCCCCACTTGGGTAGCAGGAATGAGACCCAGCATATTATTAATGCAAAGCATTCATTCTACTGAGATGCACTTCAGCCCCCACCAACCATATAAATGCCCAGCCCCACCTCCGATTTAGGGCCACACCTGGCAGAACGTAGGGGTCGCCCCCAACTGTACTCAGAAAACTACATGGTGCTGGTGACTGGTAAAGCACGCGTTCAGCTTCTGAGCTATCTCTTTTGCTCAAAATAGTTACACTTTGGTAAAACTTCATTTCCTGGATATGTGGCTCTTTTGGCAAGCAAGAAGGAACCGGGACCTGTTTCTGTGTAAGGCCTTAATCCTATATTCTTTATTCTACAGTGCACTGCAGCAACACAATTACTTAAGTGGATCCTGACCACTGTGCCCTGAGATTTTCCAAAGACAGTTCATGAACAGAGTTTGGGGTGAGGGTTGGAGGGTGGGTGTATGAGATCAGACATAAATGTCCACTTTTGAAGCATTAGGGCAAATGACATAGCAAAAGGCTCCATACACTACAGAGGAAGAAGCTACTCAAGTCATTGCATACAAGGCCATGGGGAAAAGAAGCTGGTTTGCTTAACTAGCTGCAGCAAAAGAATTTTAGTTTATTTAAGCCCCTTCTTTCCCATTTACTGATGTGAGGACTGGAGTTTGTACACACTAAGCCATACACAGTTCTGCAAACATTGCCTATACTTGAGATGCGGGGCAGAAATCAAACACTGGGGCTGGAGCAATAAACCAGTGAGTAGGTCACTAGTCATGCATGTGGCTGGCCCTAATTGGACCTGGGTTATGGTCCCCCAAGTCAGGCAGGAGCAAGCCCTGATCACTGCCAAGAGTGGCCCCAAATCAAAAATCAAAAAGAAATTTGAACTCTGTCTGCAATAAAGGTGCAGTACCATGGAGGCATTCCAAGTTCCTCATATTGTTAATTCTGGTTTGGGGCTATACCTGGTGGTGCTCAGGGGTGATGGTTCTATGTTCAGAAGAGACCCCTCATGGTCCAAAGGGGCCATATGTGGTGCTGTAAAGCAAGATCGTAGCTGAAGTGGCACATGCAAAACAAGTGTCTTACTTCTCTACTATCTCTCCAGTCCCCCCCAATATTTTTAGTTTGTTTTGGAATCTTTGAGAAGTGGAAAGGGGTGCTTAGGGGCTACTTCCAGTGCTAATTCGGGAACCAGAGGCAGAACCAGGAATTGAACCAGGGTCAACTATTATGCCAGGCAAGCTCCTGAATCCCAGATCATATCTCTAGTCACATAAATGGTTATTTTTATGTTTGGGTTTTTGAATCAGACTCAGCAGTGCTCAGGGCTTAATACTGGCTCTGTGCTTGGTGATCACTCCTAAGGAGTTCGGAGGACCTTATTAGTGCCAGGAATTGAATGCAGGTCAGTTATGTGCAAGGCAAGAGTCTTAGCTGCTATACTATCCTCCTCCAATATGTATTTTTTCCTAATAGTTATTTTATTAAAAAAAAAATTTTTTTTTGGCTTTTTGGGTCACACCAGTGATGTTCAGGGTTACTCCTGGCTCTGCACTCAGGAACTACTCCTGGCAGTGTTTAAGGGATCATACGGGATGCCCGGGATCGAACCTGGATTGGCTGCATGCAACACAAGTACCCTCCCCACTGTACTATCGCTCTGGTCCCAAATCATTATTTTTAAATAAAACAACTACATAAAGGAACTTTCTTTTCCTTTCAAGTGACTCAATTAAGACTTCTTAATTTTACATAGTTTATAATGTGGCTGTATTTTAGAAAGAGAACAATTCACAATTATTTTGTTACACACAGAATACATAATTTGAAGCTTAAAAATATGAAATGTGGCAACAGTGCCTAAATAAAAACTGGGCGGGGGGGGGTGTGCAGGAAGCAGGGGCTGAAGAGATAGTACAAAGATTAAGTGGCATTCCTTAATGCAGCTGACCCAGTTAGAACTCTCCCCAAAACTGCCAGAGTAGACCAGGCCAGCCCTGGCCCTGCAGAAACTGAGTCAGATCTCATTCTTTGATTCTCACACTGAACCACTGGCCCAATAGGCTGAGCACTTCCAGGGCAGGCCCACCGTCCACCTCAGCTTTGCTTGCAAAACATCCTTGAAAAGTAAAAACCTGCCGTAACCCTTGGTTTTTACACAAGCATCTAATTCTAATGATTGTTTAAATGCATCAGAAAAGGGAAGGAACACCAACATTTATGGAAAACAACACAAATCCCAACTTACCTGTAAATGGATCTGAAAAACTGGTATTCCCAAGACCCAACATTTGACCTTTTGTGTTATCAATAATAAATTTAGCCACTTGATCCAAAAACATAGGATTCAAATCATTCTTCTGTAAGAAGTTATATGCTGTTAACCAGGGGTCATCACTGATGTTATAAGGCAATTTATAAGATGGTCCACCTTCATTAACATCAATTGAGAAAACATAATCAAATTCCTTAAGAGGAATATAAAAAGGAGATAAATGATTACTAACTTATCTGTTCATATATTTTAATAGCATATACACACACACAGATGTCATAGTCGTTAACAATTAAACTGTCTCATCCTTGTCAATACTGCTATGCTACATTCTACTTGGCATATAATGACAATATTAGCAACTATCTGCACTTGCTGCAAAATTCTTATTTCACTGGAGGTAGTGTTGGGGAATGGGCTGCAACATCTTAATTCCAAGGCAAAAGAAAAATCTGCAGTGGCTGATTTCAGGTCAAAATTATTAGCTGTTACCATGTCCCAGTAACTTAAAAATATTGGGGTTATCAGCATCTCTTATGTCCTTAAATGTGACGTATCATTGAAGTACTAAGACTAAAGGTGCCACAAAAAGTCCTACTCCGAGTGGTTGGGAATAGCTTATCCACAGTAACACCTAGACAAAAAATGACTAGGATGTCTAACAAATGCAGCTCTCCCTCTGTGGAGAAACGTTAATACAAATAGGGAATTCTTCAAACAAAAAAATCAGGCAGAAAAAGGGTAAAGAAAGCCTTTAATACTTTAAAACAGAAAAAAAAAAAAAAGAAGAAGAAAACCGCTGGGAGGCTCCACAGCTTCCGGAGAATGCTCCAGGTCCCAAACAGAGCCGAGATCACCGGGAAGTCCCAGATGGGGTAGGTGCCGCATCCCGCCTTCTCCAGATGGAACCCCGGTGACCAGGAGCCTCTACAAGCAGCTTAGCTCAAGCATGCAGGAACCAGGACTTTTATTCCAAACTGCCGGGACTGCCCTGGCTCCCAGGTAACCTCTGATTCCGGAAGTCACGCCCACAACCCGCCCCCCAGCGCCATCTTTACAGCACACAGCAACAGAGAAGAAAACCGCTGGGAAGCTCCACAGCTCCCGGAGAATGCTCCAGGTCCCAAACAGAGCTGAGATCACCGGGAAGTCCCAGATGGAGTAGGTGCTGCATCCCGCCTTCTCCAGATGGAACCCTGGTGACCATGAGCCTCTACAAGCATAGCTTGGGCATGCGAGAACCAGGACTTTTACTCCAAATAGCCGGGGCCACTTACGCGGCCGCGTGACATCTCCTTATATACAAAGTGATCAATGGAAAGCAAATCATCCAACGTTTCTCCCTGAAAATCAAGCTTAACTCTTCTGCAAACCACAGCACCCAATTGGAGAGAGAGAACAAAAGGGAATGCCCTGCCACAGAGGCAGGGTGGGATGGGGGGGATGGGGGGTGGGAGGGATACTGGGATCCGTGGTGGTGGGAAATGGTCACTGGTGGAGGGATGGGTATTCAAAATAAATAAAAATAAATTTAAAAAAATACTTTAAAACAGAGATTCCCAAATTCACCTGCCTTACTGCCCTCTTTTCATAAAACACATAATAATTCAAAAACTATTTTTTTAAAAATCTACCTCCTTTAAGGAAATAGTGTCTCCCACCACAAGATCTTCTAGATGGTTCCTATGTCCCTCCCACTCAAAGCTGGTACTACACGTTTTAGAAAGACAATGATGAAGAGAAAAATAAAAGGCAACATACTTTTCCTTCATATAAAACTTTTCCAGATGTTTGCTGATTAGCACCCGATGAACCAACAACATCACCGATTTTTATCCACCTTCCTTCACTAACACTCCATTGATAGGCTTCGACTTTGTCCCCATCTCTGATTAGACGAGTCTGACCTTCTCTAGAACCTTAAAATAAAAAATTCAAGACTCAAAGATAGAATGGTAGGAGAAAAGTTCAAAACACCTAGGAAAAAAAATTAATGTTAAGATTTATACAACGGAAGTATATCTTTTGTCTTAAAAGAAAACTTTGTTGAAGAGTTTTATATAGAAATTCTACTAGAAAGTGGTAAAAAAATTACAAAATGATTAAAGGGAAACTTTATAATGACTATATATTTTTTTATCTTTTTTGGTTCATTCTTAGTTGTTTCTGGGTCATACCTGGTGGTACTCAGGGGACTGTGTGGTCCAAGAATGAAATGTACCCTGTGTGGAGACTGTGCTCTGTGCTAAGCCACTGCAATATACCTCAATGTCCCTAAACAAATGACAAAAAAAAAAAAAAAAGAAAAAACAAAACAAAAAATGTACACCCCTGTGTTCCATGGAGCACTATGCAGAACAGCCAAAACTGGAAACAACCCAAGTGTCCAAGAATATATGACTGGTACATATACTCAATGGAATATTACTCAGCCATAAGAAAAGATAAGTCATGAAATCTGTTCCTGCATGGAGGGACCTGAAGTTAGTCAGAGGGAAAGACTGACACAGAATGATCTCTCTCATATGCAGGATATAAAGAGACATAATAGTGGAATAACAAATACCAAAAGACAATGGAAACAAAGAACATGAGAACTGATATTCAGTAGGAAACGTGCCACTTGAGGATGCTGGGGGAAAGGCTAAGAATGGGAATGGGGTATATGTGTGTGTTGGGGGGGCATCTATGGTGGAAGGAAAAGGAGGTGGTGCTGAAAGGTAAAACGTGAAGTATGAAACCCCATCAACAATACTGTAAACCACAGTTGCAAACACTTGTGTGTATATAACACAAGTTTTATGTGCATATGTGTGTATGTTTTACACACATGTATATGCATAAGTTTTTGCACTGGGGTTTACAGCAAATATTTATATATTCTTTTCCTATATGTTTATTATATATATTTATATATTTTACTTATTTATATATTTATTATATACATTTATATATTTTTAAATATATATATATTTTAAAAAGAGCCTCTTGTAGAAGCAGACTAGTAGGTGGGAGGCAAATGGGGTGAGAGGGAAGACTGCTGGAGGGAAGTGGATCCTGCAAAGTGATCAGTGGTGAAACATTGTATGCTGAAACCCAATCATGAACAACTTTGTAATTTCATGGTGACTAAATCAAAACAACAAATAAATCAGAGAAGGAAACCAGATTCATCTACATTTTTTTTAACTGAGCAGCCAGAGGAATACTCATTTATTTATAATATATATGTAAGACGACATTTACTAATTAAATCTATTATCTTCAGTGGAACAACTATTTTTTAGTGTAATCACATTTTTGTAACTTTCCTTTAATAAATTTTCCTTAGGGTAGGAGCTGGCTCAGTGGCTCTGCAGTCTGTACACAGGGTACAATGCTTTGATGATACTGCCATTTTAAAGGTACTAAGTCTCCCAATCCATGAGCAGCGGGTGTTTCCATTTTCACATGTCCTCTTTTATTCCTTCAAGTAGTGTTCTGTAGTTTTCTTTGTATAGCTTTTTCACCTCTTTAGTTAAACTGATTCTGAGGTTTCTAATTTTCTGAGGCACAACTATGAATGGGATTGTTTTTAAAATCTCTCTTCTCTCTTCTACTATTGTTCTTATATAGAAGGCTGTGGACTCTTGTATATTAATTCTGTAGGATCTCATTTTACTATATAGATCTACTGTTTCTAGGGGCATTTTGGTAAGAGTGTTTAGGGTTTTCTAAATATAGTATCATGTAATCTGTAAATAGTGAGAGCCTGATTTCTTTCTTCCTTCTCTATCTGGATGCCCCTGACATCTTATACCTGCCTAAATGCTGCGGTAAGTATTTTCAGTGCTATATTGAATAGAAATGTCAAAAGTGGTCAACCTTGCCTTGTGCCTGATCTTAGAGGGTAGGTATTTTCTCCCCATAGTACACAGTGTTTGCTGTGGGCTTTGACTATTGAGGAAAGATTCTTCAATTTCCATTTATCGTGAATAGGTGCTGGACCTTGTTTCATGTCCCAGCATGTGGTCTATCTTGGAGAATGTTCCATGTGCACTGGAGAACAATGTATATTCAGCTTTTGGAGGGCAAAAAGTCACACGCACATACATAAATGCACAAATACGCTACACCCCTTTCATTTTTTCCTTCAAAGCTAGTGTTGCCTTGCTGAGGTTTGATCTAGTTGATCTATCAAGAGGTAACAGTGTAGCACTGAAGTCTCCAACTACTATTGTGTTGTATTAATGTTTTTCTTTGAGTCTATTAGCAGTTGTTTGAAATATTTTGCTGGTCCATCCTCAGGCATATATATGTTTAGGAATGTAGTTCTTCGTGATGTACATATCCTTTGATCATTAAAAAAATGATCTTCGTTGTCTCTCATAAACTGTCAACCTGAAGTCTATGTCATCTGATACTAATATGGCCTCCTCCACCTTTTGGGGGGTTGTTTGCTTGAAGAACTGTCTTCCAACTTTTCACTTGGAGTATGTATTTCCACTGATTATTCAATGTTTCTTGGAGGCAGCAGAATATTGGGCGCAATTTTCAAATCCATCCTGCTACTCTGTCTCTTAATTGGCATATATAGCCCATTGACATTGAGAGCTTATTGTCCTGGGGTTTTGTGCCATCTTTCTGCAGGAGTTCTGTGTACTATAGGATTCATCTAGCCTTAAAGTAGTCCCTACAGCTTTTGTAAAATGGTCTTGAACCTATGAAATTCCTGAGTTGAGGTTGTGCATCATTACTTCAAATCTAAATGAGAATCTGACTGGATAAAATATTCTTGGTTGAGGCATTCATTTTATTTATTTTTTTAACTATACCACCATTGTCTTTGGGCCCAGAGGGTTTCATTTGGTAAATCTGCTGTAAACACTCCTTTGTATATAAATTCCTTTTTTTTGATCTTGCTGATTTCAATATTCTATCTCCATCATTTCTGTCACTCGAATTAGGATGTGTTCTGGAGAATTTTCGTTTAGATATCCTTTAGATGATACCCTTTGGGCCTCCTGGTTCTGGATGGATGCACGCTTTCGCTCTGGGAATTTCTCAGCAATGATGTTTTTGACTGCTGCTTCATCATCAAGGTTGCCATCCTCGTCCTCTGGTACCCTGATGATTCTCATGTTGTTCTCTTGTCAGTTGTTCATTTATTTTGAGGCTTTTTTCCACCCTCTGCTGTTTTCTGAAAGTTTTCTGTACCTCATCTCCAGTGAGTTTTTCATTTTGCCTGCCAGGTTTTTCAGTTCTGTCATTTGTTTGTAGTTGTCTCATTTCTCCTCTCACATCCTCTTTGCCAGTCCTTTCCACTGTTTCAAACAGTCTCAACATTTCCTCTCTGAAATTCTTATCAGAGAGGTTATATTACTGATTGAGTCTTCAGGGCAACCATCTTCGCTCACCAAGCATGTTGGTGTTCTGCGTTGCTTTCCCACTGTGACTTTTACAGGTGGAGGTGTTTCTTGTGTTGTTGGTTGTATAACTAGGTGACAAGAGTTGGGATTTGTTGGCATGCTGGTGGTGAGATACATCTGAAGAGGTGAATAAAGCACGAAGAAGGATAGGGACACTGAAAGAAATCAAGCTGGGGTGGCTAGTGGCCTAATCTGCCACTACTGTTTCACAGGGCCTACCACCCTGGGGAATAAAAAAAACGATTTCCTTTTTCTTAACTCACAACCGCTTCTGCGAATCCTGTCAGTTCTATCTTTAAAGTATGACTAGAAAAACCAATGGATCTGTCCATTTCCATCACAATCTGCAAACCAAGCCACTATGGATCAGTCAGACTGATTCAATGGTCCTTGTGCATTCTATATTCACAGAAATCTATTGCAAAGTTTAAGGAAACTCTAATTTGACCTTGATCTCAATCAGTTACAGCCTGCAAGAGCAAATACTGGATGTTCCCTTCAACCTCTATGACGTCATCTCCCACTTTTTCTCCCTTTATCCCATCATCCTACTTCAGCCAGGGAGTTTACACTGGCTATTTTTGTTACGTATAATACCCATCACACAAATATTGCTCCATTACGTCCATAAGAACTTGAATACTACATTTTAGCAAAGTCTGAGGCAGAAATAACTGATCTCCAGAGACACATTTCCTAACTATTGCATTTAAGCTTCTAAAACAGCCATAACCCTTTAATTCTCCCATGATTCTTATCATGTGAAAAATTAGTATGACTTGTTTGACTATTTATGTATTCTTATGTAAAGTTTGAATTTGTTTTGTTTATTCCTGGCTCTGTGCTCAGGGAATCATTCCTGGTGGGGCTGAGGTAACATAGGGATGCTTGGTGACAGAACCTGGGTCTGTCCCGTCCTGAGCACCCTGCTCACTGTAGTATCTCTCCAACCCCAAAACTTAAATTTGTAAAAACAGACTTTTGTCTTGTTGTAACCTACTGTACTCTTAGAATTTAGAACAACGTTTGACATGCATTAGGTACTTAGTGATATGCATTTATTAGAAAAATTACTTTTGCTGGTGTCATGGGTTAAACCGAGGGCTCTTACAAACAAGTGCTCTATTACTGAGGTGGCCCTGCTTTTGACCTGTGAAGTACAAATGTTAATACAAAGTCAAGGGCTGGAGTGACAGTACAGCGGGTAGTGTTTGTCTTGCATGTGGCCTACCCAGGTTTAATCCCTGGCATCCCATATAGTACCATGAGCACCACCAGGAGGGAGTGCATAGCCAGGAGTAAACCTGAGTACCACCAGGTGTGGCTCAAAACAAACAAACAAACACCAAAAATCCCAAACAACAACAAAAAACCACCAAAATAAAACAAGTCAAAAGATATAATGTACAAGTTTTAAGTCAAAAGACAAATAACTGAATATTGTAACTGAATATGCATATACATAACTGAATATTATAAAATTTTGATTCTTAGGATGTCACAGAAATATCTAAGAATTCTCAGAGATCCCCAAACAAGCTCTGAAAACAACCAATCAAATTGAGTAGAGATATATCAAATGCAAGATTTCATTGGTGATAATAGCCACCACCTGCTTTTATTACTATTTTTTAAATTCTGGGGTTTATGCAATCCCAAGCATGGCCTTGAATCTGTAAGGTCTATCATCTTTTTTTTTTTTTTTTTTTTTTTTTGCTTTTTGGGTCACACCAGGTGATGCACAGGGCTTACTCTGCACTCAGGAGTTACTCCTGGTGCTGCTCAGGGGGCCATATGGGATGCTGGGAATCAAACACGGGTCAGCCGTGTGCAAGGCAAACGCCCTACTCGCTGTGCACTACCCACTATGCTATCTCTCTAGCCCCAGGCCTATCATCTTATACTCTACCAGTTGAGCCATACTCCTCACCCCATCCTCTGATTTTAAACCAAATGACTACAATTCTTCGATTATTCTACTTTTTTTTTTTGATCTGTTCAAAAACTACTGAAAACTTAGTATCTTCTAAGCACCTAGTACACATGTGCTGAAAGCTGGAAAAATTGAAGAACAAAATCAAGATTCAATTTTATAGTGAGCTTAATATAAAGTCTATATTAGCAAAAACATGATTTTTCATAATAATTGTGCATAACAGTAAATGTTCTCAAAAATCAGTATCTGGAAATGTGAATAATTACTAGTAAAACAACCATTCTTTAAAACCACACTAATAATTCCAAAACACAAATATGTAACTTTTCCTGACAAGCACTGATAAGAAAATATTTACCAGGTTCATTTAGATGTTCCCTCCCAGGAAGCTGTTCAGCATTAATGTCCCCTAAATCACCAGTTTTGGAATCAATGGTTGCCTGAGAGAGTTCTTTTTCAAAAGCCTTGATTTCCTCAGCACTTGCAATTCGATCCTCTGATTCTGTAAACACTCTAATAATACCATCACTGAAAGGTTAAAAAAAAAAAATTATAAGGAACTGCCATATTGTATGAACATTACTGCATATGTGACTGCTTTTTTGCCAAGTATAGCACTATACTAATCAAGTGAAAATAGAATTTTTATAGGGAAAAGTTGACTGCAAAGGGCAGAAATTTTTTATTTTTTTTATTTTTTTTTTTGAAATTTTTTATTTTTACAATATTCAATTCCAAGTAAAATAATTAACACCCCAAAAATCCAAAGATAAATTGTATATTGTTTTTTTTTTTCAGGGGGTGGAGGAAGTGCTGGGTCCACTCCTGGCTGTGTGCAAAGCTTACTTTTGGCTCTGTGCTCAGGGTTCACTCCTGGCAGGGGATGCAGGGAACCAAACCCACGTTGGCCATACTCAAGGTAAGTGCTGCACTCTCTCCTGGCTCAAGTATATACTTTTAAAATAAAAGTTACATAGGTTTCATGGTATAAAGAAAAACAGTAGCTGGCTTACTCATAAAGGCCTAAATTATCCACTAAAACACTTAAAAAATAGCAGCCAATATCTATGCATCAGGAAAACACGGAACTTTACTATGCCATTTACTAGAAATAAAAACATTTTTTGCAACTAAAACAAGGAGTTCCAGAGAGAGAGAGAGAGAGAGAGAGAGAGAGAGAGAGCACAAAGTATACTACAATTCAATCCCCAGCACCACATATTGTCCTCTGAACACAGGGCCAGGGATAGTCTTTGAGCACAACTGGTTGTGGTCAAAAAACTACCCTCACACACAAAAAAAGGCGCGCGCGCGTGTGTGTGTGGGGGGGGGGGGGGGGGGGAGTGAGATGGGTTTGGGCTAGCTGGCAGTCTTAACCTTTATTCTCAGAAAATAACTTCATTCCATGATTACTTAATTCTAAATTCTGGGACCGGGGGAACAAGTTAGCTATACTCAGCTGAACTATCCCTATCCAACCTACAGTATGTCTTCCTTAGTTCATTAATAGCAAATTCACTCTTTTAGTACAAAAAAACTTTTCAATATTAAATATGCCTATGAGGAACAAAACTAAAATAAGAAGTAAATCCCTTCGTTCTATCCTCTTGACCCTCACAGTTTCGTGTCTCATCCATCCGTATGTAGAGCCTTAAGTCCTTATTTCATATCAACTACTAGAATTGCTTTCTCCTTTCTTTTAAATTTCAAATTTGCTTTGCTGTCCACTGTGACTAGTTATTAAAAAATACATATAAACTAATCTGCAAGTTATTATTTAGTCCTCTCACTTTTTGCTGAAGAGCCGCAAACTTTAAGCCCAAAATATTAAATACAAACAATGCTTAGCATAATTAATCCCTACCTTAACTATGACCTACTATTCCCTAACATCAGTACTCCACCATTTTCCTTCATCTTCCATATACATCATTTTCACTCTCATGTCACAACTTTATAGAAATTCTCATTGTCCTTCTTTCTCAAATTTCAATTCTCACTTCTCAAAACATTCTCCACACTAAACTTTTCTCCCAAACACATCAGCTACACATATATATCAGTGAAAAAGCTGTTTTAACTATTACTGTTTTGTTTATTAACAGTTTATCAGCTGAGATAATTTATGGCTATTAGAGATAATTTACCTCTATTATCTCTTAAAAGCTACCAAAGGCCTAAATATATTATTGAATGCTGGAGTGGAACATAAATACCTTGCACCAACCACGATATCACCATTGTCCAGCACACAGCAGCACCATATAGACTGAGCTGGAAGTCGAATTGTTTGAGCACATTCTCCATGTTTCCAGATTCTCAGGGATCTGTCTTCTGCTGTTGTCACAAAATCTAAAATTAATGAGTACAGGAAAAATGATTTTAAATAAATAAAATAAAGCATGTATTGCATATCTTACATACTCTTTACTAAGAAGCTACATGAAATCTTTTCAGACACTCCCAAGAACTTTTTACAGCTAAACCATCAAACCTGAATTAATGTAATGGAGAGCAGTCTTACCTTTACAATTTGGAAAGACAGATATGCTATAAATATAGTTTGTATGTCCATAATATACTTCAAGACATTCGCCAGTGATCTGCCACCTTCTAATACTAGCATCATTTGCACAGGAAAGAAATTCTGTTTCACTCAAAATTGCCAAGCCCCTTACACAGTCTTCATGTCCTGCATTAAAAAAAATAGAAAGTCAATAAACTGAAAGCTTGATGTTTCACTAAAATGAGTAAACAATACTGGGTAGTAAAACTCACTTTTGAATTACAGATAAGTTCTTTTCTATAGAAAAATATGGTAGTAAAATTAGAAAATTTAAATTTTGTGATACCTTTTCCACCAGTTTCAGAATGCATTTTACATTTTATGTTATCTTCTCTGAATTATTTTTTTATTTTTTTGTGTGTGAAGTGCTAAAGTTTTTACAGAGACTCATTTAGAAATATGTGAAGGGAGAGAATGGGAGAAGTCATATTCGAGAGAACATAGACTTCTCCAGAATGGAAATAAACAAGCAAACAGACAAGCAAGCAAGATACATGGTTAAGGGAGAAGATAGGTTTGAAGAGCAAGACTCTAAATTATTTCATAATTACAAAATATTTATCCGCACAATTTTCCATTTTTACCCAGAAATTAATTCTCAACTTTCCTCCAATGACAAGAGTAATTATGGCTAGAAAGATAGCTTACAGGGTGAGAGTTCACACCCTGCATGTGAAAAGCCTAGGGTTTAATTCCCTGAAACACATGGCTCCCTGAGTGCTAAGAATAACTCCACACATCCTAAAGCAATGAGCAGAGCCTGGCACATTCTCCTGTGCACTTCTGGGTGTGACCCCAAAAAAGCAACAAAGAGATAAAAGCAAAAAATTCCTTACTTTCTTACCATATGCTAATGATGATTGTTCATAAAATACTAGAGGAAACATTTTAAACTAGTAGGGTCAAGAAGCTCAACAAGCTGAGCAGATGCTTTCCATGTGGGAGATACGGATTTGAACCTTGGCACCACAAGGGCCGCTAAGCGCTGCCATGAGCATCCCCAAGCACAAAGCCAGGAGCATCTCCGAGCACCACCGGTGTACCCTCCTCCAAAATTAAATAAAGTAAACTAAGGTTACAAAAAGGATTCTGATTTGTTAAGAGTTTGAAGTAAAATGTTCCCAACTAAAAAAGTAAACCTTATAGAACCAAACACCACTACATTATCACTGGGAATATTTCACAATTTATATATACAAAGGTGTTCAAATGAAACAACAATAAAACCTACTGACTATTGCTATGTTAAAAAGAAAAAGTTTTTTTTTTTCTTTTTGGGTCACACCCAGCGATGCACAGGGGTTCCTCCTGGCTCTGCACTCAGATATTATCCCTGGCGGTGCTCAGGGGACCATATGGGATGCTGGGAATTGAACCCGGGTCGGCCGTGTGCAAGGCAAATGCCCTACCGGCTGTGCTATTGCTCCAGCCCCCTAAAAAGGAAGTTTTAAAAAATTTCTTGAATATGTTCTTAATTATGAACTGAATAAACATATATTACATGCATCAAAGGATATTAATTTTTAAAATTTGATAAAATCAAGTTTTTTTTATTATTGAAGCAATACAGAAAGCAACACTTCTTTTTTTTTAAAGGAGAAAACAGTCTCTTCTTTTTAATTTTTCAATTAGGATACTGTGCTTTACAAAGCTATTGAGAGTTGAGTTTCAGGTATTCAATGTTCCAACACCAATGCTATCACCAGTATCAACATTCATTCATCAATATCCCTAGATTCCCTCCCACCTGTTTGACAGACAAAATTTTAAATTTGTTTAGAGTCAAAATCATGTTCAGTATTTTCTAGTTTTGATCAGCTATCAAGTTTTACAACAATCTGATACTTATTTTTCTATGTAAGGAAGCAGAAAAAGGACTACTAAGTTATAACTCACTATCCATTTTCCATCCTATATAATTTTATCTACACAGAGAAAGTTCATGCACTATTATGTAGAATATGATCAATTTTTTTTATTTCTGCTTTTTGGCCACCAAAAGCTAGGGGTTTATTCTCCTGGTTTTGTGCTCAGGAACCACTCCAGTGACCGTTCAGGAATCATATGCAGTACCAGGGATTGAACTGGGGTCAGTCACGTTCCCGCTGTCCAACCCTGGTGATCAATATTTAAGATGCAAATAAAACAAAAAAATTTAAAAACAGATACTTAAGTGCTCCATAAATAAATCAGCAATATTAATATTAGTTACGCAGGAGGAAGAGAGCGGCTTGGAATGCCTTGAAGAGCGTTGAAGAAATAACTAAGAGGACAAAGAACCTCCAGCTACGAGCACATCTCTTTGATTCCACTGTTCTTCCTGCATTAACATATGCCTCAGGGACCTGGGCCCTACGAAACCAGGAGGAGAACACTATTTGGGTCTCTCAAGGAGGAATTGAAAGAGCTATGCTTGGAGTATCACGCTTCACTCAAATAAGAGATAGAATTCGGAGTTCCGATCTCCGTCAACGCTCAAGAATCAGGGATGCTGTCTCATTTGCCAAGGCATCAAAAATCAGATGGGCTGGACACATAATGAGGTTTACAGACAACCGCTGGACTAGAGCCATTACTGACTGGATTCCACGGGACATCAAAAGATTGCGTGGACGCCCAACTACAAGACGGTCAGACTTCTTCGTCAAGACCCTGAATGATCGGTTTGAGACTCTGCATGTTCCTAGAACGAACAGATGCCACTGTGCTATGCTAGCATGTAACAGGGATGAATGGAGACGTTATTGGCACCCGCTCGAGTAAATTGATAAATAACGGGGTATCAAGTGATCAAGTGATTAATATTAGAAGATGATTAAGTGGTTATTTCATGGCGGATATTTAATAAAAGGTCCACGTGAAGCCACAACATAAACAAAGTCCCAAATTTGCAATTATCAAAGAATGTACATTAAAATATCAAAAAAAGCACAAATGTTTTCCTTCATAAAGGAAGATAAAATTACTGACTCACTGCCAGTAAGGCTTATGCTTGTAAGCAGGCTTAACTTGTTAAAATGACAACGCAAAAAGTAATTGCATACAAAACCACAACACCCAAGAGGAGAGAGAGAACAAAAGGGAATGCCCTGCCAGAGGCAGGGCAGGATAGGGGGGGTGGGGGGTGGGAGGGATACTGGAATCCGTGGTGGTGGGAAATGGGCACTGGTGGAGGGATGGGTATTTGATCATTGTATAATTGAAACCCAAGCACAAAAATTTGTAAGTCTACAACTGCACCTCATGGTGTCTAATAAAAATTAAAAAAAGTAACTGCATACAGAAATCACATACATTTATGTAAGATAGTATTATATTGCTATATTATATAATTATAATTATACCACATAAGATAACATGAAATACAATTATATAAAACAAAACATGAAATATATAAATATTATAATTAGATATAACTATGATTTGGGCTGGAGCAATAGCACAACGGTAGGGCATTTGCCTTACAAGCAGCCAACGGCCAACCCAAGTTCGATTCCTCCGCCCCTCCAGGACAGCCCGGCAAGCTACCAAGAGTATCTCACTCGCACGGCAGAGCCTGGCAAGCTACCCGTGATATATTCGACATGCCAAACACAGTAACAAGTTTCACGATGGAGACGTTACTGGGCCCACTCAAGCAAATCGATGAACAACGGGAGGACCATGACTGACTATGATTTATAATTATGTGATATAATAATTATATAATATACAGTCGATTTGCTCGAGCGGGCCCAGTAACGTCTCCATTGGAGACTTTGTTGTTACTGTGTCTGGCATATCCAATACTCTCGGTAGCTTGCCGGGCTCTCCGAGAGGGGCGGAGGAATCGAACTCGGGTCGGCCATGTTGGCCGCTTGTAAGGCGAACGCCCTACCCGCTGTGCTATCGCTCCTGTAATATATTATACAGAAACATACATATTCTAGTTCATCAAATATCCATGTATTAGTTCACATTTCATTGTTCTGTAAGGTCTTACTATAATTTAAAAAATATAATGAGTATCAAATATTAGAAAAATGGCATTCACCCATATTAATCGTGATATTACACAATGCTAGTCAAATACCAGTTACAATCTTCTAAACAAGAAAATATGGATAAGCAAATACAAAGGAATGAGATTATAAAAGTTGCTTACACTAATCTTACCTGAAAAAGTTCTCTCACATCTTCCAGCTTTCCACAGTTTAATAGTTTTGTCCGCTGATCCAGTTAACATTAAGCCTTGTTCAGGTAAGATTTTTACAGCCCATACTGCAGCTGTATGACCCTGAAAGTAAAATGGGTATTATTAGTACGGACAAAATCATTATATTTAACCCTCTTAGCTCAAGACTGCAACACAGGTAAGGGCTGCCAGAAGCACACAGGAATCATTAAGTGTAGGATGACATTGCTTTGTCCTTTCTCCCTTGCCACAAGGAGCTTAGGTTTATCAGGTCACACCCATCACCGGTCAAGCTACCAAGAGAGAGTATCTCGCCCACATGGCAAAGCCTGGCAAGCTCCCCGTGACGTATTCGATATGCCAAAGACAGTAACAAGTCTCACAATGTTACTGGGGCCCACTTGAGCAAATCGACAAACAACGGGAAGACAGTGACAGTGAAGTTAAGAGCTTGATCACAGACAAATGCTGTCATGATCCAAAAGTAATGACGAGACTATGACCCTGCTAGGGATAGGAAAGAATAATCTGTCCTGAGCAGTGTAGTCTGAGATGGAGATGACTCCAGGAGAGCAATTCTATAAGCTTAAATGCATCTCTTACTGTGTCCATACAAAATGATTAATACTATGAATGCTTATGTTTGTTGGACAAGGAGAGGAGGTGGGCAGGCCTGCTGAAAGAGAATCTGTCCTAGAAGCAGCATCCCCTGAGGGAAAGAACTTTAACCCCATTGATTGTGACCACACCTATGTGTAAACCCAACCCCTCATGGTTTGGGGGTTAGGAAACTGTAAGAGTGGGCTGGGGGCACATTAGACATATTTTTATTTCATTAAACGAATAATTTCCCCCTAGTATTCCTTCTTGTCTTTCTTACACAGTGAACCAGCTCTAATAAAAATTTCATTTTTCCTGAGATATATGTTCCAGAATTTTACTGTGTGGGAATCGGATGGTAGAAAACGCCTGTTTTTTTCTTGTATGTTTTGCATTTATGAAAATGTATTTATTTGCTTTTATTTTTGATAGCCTTTATTATCTGGATTGTGAGCTATTTGCTCTCAGTTTACTTAAGATCGTTTACTCTCTCCTGTATTTTGTGCTGTTTATCATTAATGAGAAGGGAGAAGGCCCTCCCATTGTTCGTCGATTTGCTCGAGCGAGCCCAGAAACATCTCCATTGGAGACTTTGTTGTTACTGTGTTTGGCATATCGAATACGAGCTTGCCAGGCTCTGCCGAGCAGGCGAGATACTCTTGGTAGCTTGCCGGGCTCTCCGAGAGGGGCAGAGGAATCGAACTTGGGTCGGCCATGTTGGCTGCGTGCAAGGCAAATGCCCTACTGCTGTGCTATCGCTCCAGCCCTTATCGTTAATATAATTGTAAATAAACTATTTTCTCCCCCCCGCCCAAAAAAAAAAGAGTGGGCACTGGGGGGATAAGATCCAGAGCCAGAGCCAGAAGGAGAAAGAGGGTTCCAGATCAGGGGCCGGGAAAGGAGAGAGAGGGGAGTGAAAGGGGATGAGAATGAATAAACAGCATCTGATTAATCAACCAGCTTGGCCCTCGCTTTCTCTGTCGTCTGTTCCATGGTCTGTGCTGCCCCACTGGGGGAGCAGCCCAGGCCCAACCCAAAACCTGGGGGAGCTGGGGGGAGAGTCGTCGGGGCCTCTCCCCTGGCCGCCCCTTGGAGTTTTATACAATTATGCAAATGATTTTCAATTAAGACTTCATCATTGCATTTTCAGAAATATTTTACTATTGCGATATGAGGTCATGACTAAAAAGATGCACAAAGAATGACTGTACCTGTAAGGTCATCATGCATTTGTCATTCAGCCAGACTTTAGCAGTGGTATCCCATGAGCCACTAAGTAATGTCCCAAATTTTCCAGATGAAAGACTACAAACTAAAGGGAGAAAAAGGCACAAATTAACCTATTACGATAGGAAACTGTTCAATTTGGTCAGTTATTAAAGACTGCAACTTAAAATAACCTATTTTAAGAATAGACTATCAGGGAACAAGACCCAGCAGTGCCACTCATGATCTGGAGGAACTGAAGCAGAGCTTCTACAATCAGATTGGCAGGAATTACAAGGGACTCAAAGTAATACACGAGGAATAAATGGAAGTTCTATTCTTCTTTTTTTTTTTTTAGCTTTCTAAAAGAAACTTTATTTATTCACTCAGTGAGCCTAGATCCTCTGTTCTAAATTAGTCATATGTTGTAAATTAACCTGCTATTTCAGTATCACACAGTTTTCATTAGGCTTTATAGTATAATTTATTTTTTATAATCTTTTTTTTTATTAGTGAAACACCATGAGGTACAGTTATAGACTTATAAATTTTTATGCTTGGGTTTCAGTTATACAATGATCAAGTACCCATCCCTCCACCAGTGCCCATCCTCCCCCACCACGGGTCCCAGCATCCCTCCCACCACCCATCACCCCTGTCCCACCCTGCCTCTGTGGCAGGGCATCCCCCCTTATTCTCTCTCTCTTCTTTTGGGTACTATGTTTTGCAAGAGAGGCATTGAGTGGCAATCATGTTTGGTCTATAGACTACTTTTAGCATGTCTCTCCCACCCTGGGAGGGTCCTCACAACACCCTTTATTTGGTGCTCTCTTCTCTATCTGAGAAGCTCTATTCTTAACACGTGGCACATATAATTACCTACAAGTTTTAACAGAGCATAAATTAACACATAACAAAATACAATCTATAACCCTAAATGTAAATAATCTAACCCTAATCGTAATCTGATGACCATACCCCATGAAAAAACTACCACTTTACCTATATTTAAATTTAATAATCCCAGTAATTTATTTTTTAATCAATTTTTTACCTGCCTTTTAAACTATGAAAACTGAAAAATCTAACACCTAAACTTAACCCTAAGTCTAATCCTAATGGTAAACCTGATTTATGCCAATGGTAAAGCTGATTTATGACAACCATGATCCAAACACAAACCTAAACCTAGCAATTAGACAAAAGTGAGCAATCACACAATACGTAAATTGCATTTTTAACTTTCAACACAGCAGAAGTTAACACTTAATCCTATAGAATCCCAACCCTAACCTATAGTACATCTGACCATAACTGATGCCAAAAATTACCAATTAGCTCAAATTTAACAATCGTCCTGCACATAACTTTCATTTTTTAACAAAAAAACCTTACACCTAAACATTAAAAGAACCTTAACCCTAATTCTTAATAATTCTAAACTTATGCTAATCATGACCAAAGTACAGGCACAAATATAACATTTAGTTAAAATCTAACATTTGCCCAATATTTTACTAGCATTTTAAACTTTGAAAACAGCAAAAGTTAAAAGGTAAGCCCAGGGCTGGAGCTCTAGGACAGCGGGTAGGGCATTTGCCTTGCACTCGGCTGACCCGGGTTTGATTCCCAGCATCCCTTATGGTCCCCTGAATACTGCCAGGAGTGATTCCTGAGTGCATGAGCCAGGAGTAACCCCTGTGCATCGCCCAGTGTGACCCCCCCCCACCAAAAAAGTAAGCCCACTACAATTCCTAACCCTAACTTTAGTCCAAGTCCTAATCTTAACCCTATAGTAAACCTGACCAAAATCAATGCCCAAAACTATGAATTAGACTAAATACATGGAATTTGATAAATGCAATTTGAATTCTGAACATATAAAAACTAACACCAAACCCCTACACAAATCCAATCCTAACCCTAGCCCTAACAATCACCCCACACTTAATTTTTAACCGTGAGAATCCTACAGATTTTATTTTGAAACCTCCACTTGCACAGCCAGAAGATATTCAAGGTAACCCTGACCCTTTGCTAATTATGACCAAGTCCAGGCCTAAACAAAAAAATTATACAAAATTTAACAATAATCACCCAATACACATCTTGAATTAACTTGACACAGAGCAGAAGTTAATACCTAAACCTTTAGAATTCCCTAACCCTAGCCTTAATCCTAACCCTAATCTTATGCAAACCATGACCCAAGTCAAGGCCAAGACCTACCAATTAACCAAAATTTAATAACTGTCCAGTACTTAGTTTCTCCTTTCACTACTTAACAATCACTAATGCAATAACCACTAACACCATATGCAGAAAGACTGTCCCCTCGGTCTGGGTCCTTGGCAAACTGTGCTAAAACAGAATTCCCTAATGAACCCAGGACCAGTATGTACTAGCTAAAAAAAAATTTAGAGTACCCCATTCTTAAGTATCTCACACTCCAGCTTTAGGTACATAATTTCTCTGCTTTATGGGGTTCACTCTCTTTACTCATGTTCCAAAATTAAAATAATTTTATTTCAAAAAAATCATATTTGGACATATTCATAAGCTTATTCAATGTACTAAGTAGTTGAAAAATATCCAAACAGGAAAGGATATCAAAATAATAGTGCTTTTTTCCTTTCTTTTTTTTTTGGGGGGGGGGGACACATCTGGTGGTATTTAAGGCTTGCTCTGTGTTCAGGGATCTCTCCTGGCATTGCTCAGGGGATCATATGGGGTGCTGGGGATCAAACCCTGTTTGGCCACATACAAGGGAAGTACCCTGCCCTCTGAAGTATCCCTCTGGCCCCCAGTATTGCTCTTAAAAGGCTATTTCCTATAATTTTATAGAACTCAAACCCGAGGGATAATGCCAGGATTCCTATCTCTGTCCCATCTCTTCTCACTTGACTCCAAGACCTAATACAGAAACAGAAGCTGGGCCTCTTTCCAGATCCCTGAGTAGTTTCTCTTTTGTCCCTAAAAGTCCAAATATGGGGCTGGAGTGATAGCATAGCGGTAGGGTATTTGCCTTGCACATGGCCGACCCGGGTTCGATTCCCAGCATCCCATATGGTCCCCTGAGCACCGCCAGGGATTAATTCCTGAGTGCAGAGCCAGGAGTAACCAATCCCTGTGCATCGCCAGATGTGACCCAAAAAGCCAAAAACAAACAAACAAATAAATAAATATAAGTCCAAATAATTTGTGAGCTGGTACAAGAAGGTAGAAGACACTCTGTCTGGATACCTATCCTTATGAGACTTCTTCATCAGGATGGGTATCCAGACAAACAAACTCAAAGTACTTTAACTACTGCTCTTCTCCCATGGAGTAGGGAAGACCCTCATGGATCCAAAGGGCATAGTATCAATTATAATTGTTTTAACCTTATCATCCGTTGAACTTGTATTTCACTAATGAAAAAGTCAGGTCCTACCAGAACACGTGCCATGGTTCTTGAATGTCTGCTGTGCAGTGCAAATGGAGGTTTCAAAATAAAATCTATAGAAAACTCGTAAACGCCACAACAAAATCACTAAAGTGCCGAGAAACATTCACTTATCAGTGTATTTGTTGTGGGTGTTTCCTGTCAAGTGAAAACACTACACTTATTTCCTTTATTGTACTAATTTCAATGTCCATCTCTTTAAGAGCATATGTGTTATTTATTTATTTGCATTTTGGGTCACACCCAGCAATGCACAGGGGTTACTCCTGGCTCTGCACTCAGGAATTACTCCTGGCAGTGCTCAGGGGACCATATGGGATGCTGGGAATCAAACCTGAGTCGGCCGCGTGCAAGACAAACGCCTTACCCACTGTACTATTGCTCCATCCCCAAGAGCTCATGTGTTCATCTCATCCGTCATCCTGCTTTTCCTGCCCTCCTGATGAAGAAGTCTCATCAGGATGGGTATCCATAAAATGTCTTTTATTTTCTCGTTTTTTTGAGCAGAAAGAATTAGAAAACACTTTCCCCCATTCTTTCTTACAGTTATTTCTCCTTTAAAAAGCTTAGCTGTTCTTCTCAGATATCCATATGCATATATATTTTAGTGTCTTAAAGAAAAAAGGGATTTTTATTTATTTATTGCCTTTTTTGGGTCAAACCCAGCGATGCACAGGGGTTACTCCTGGCTCTTCATTCAGGAATTACTCCTGGCGGTGCTCAGGGGGCCATATGGGATGCTGGGAATCGAACCTGGGTCGGCCCCTTGCAAGGCAAAGGCCCTACCCGCTGTCCTATCACTCCAGCCCCAAAAGAGGGATTTTTAAATGAGCCACATTGTAATAAGCCAGAAATGTGATTCAATGACAGAACACATACTTCACATGTGTTATACTCTATGTTCAATCTCCAGCACAAAAAGTAAACAAATAAATGCACCAACTTGTGTCCACACACACACACACACACACACACACACACAGATACACACCTGCCATATAATTACTGGGTGATATAATAGTAAATATGTCCCTATTACTTTTTCTTTTTTCTTTCTTTTCTTTTCTTTTTTTTTTTTTTTTGCTTTTTGGGTCATACCCAGCAATGCACAGGGGTTACTCCTGGCTCTGCACTCAGGAATTACCCCTGGCAGTGTTCAGGGAACCATATGGGATGCTGGGAATCAAACCCGGCATGCAAGGCAAACGCCCTACCCACTGTGCTATTGCTCCAGCCCCTGTCCCTATTACTTTTTAATACTGTACACATTTATTTGTTTTGGGGTCACACCTGGCGATACTGGGCTTACTTCTGGCTCTGCACTCAAGGATCACTTCTGGAAAGGCTCAAGGACCATATGTGGCATCAGAGGATCAAATCTGGGTGGGCTGCATGCCATATGCATTGTCCAGCCCCAAAATGGTGTTCTAATTATATATTTCCCTTTACTATGATGATTTGTTTAGGGAGAGACACAGACTATCTTCCATTCCATTGAGTCTTCTTTCTTGGTCTCCTGTGTTTCTCTATCTTGAAGGAAAAATACAAACAAGACAGGGAGAGGGGGTGCTTAAGATGCCTTTGACCAGAAGCAGAATGAATATTTTATGAAAGGAAAAAAATTTCAGTGAATTATATTGCTTATATATAAACACTTATATAATAATAACTTAATTGAGGAAATAGGCATATAAATTTTATTTCCAAGGATGAAATGTCTTCAACTAAAAAAATACCACAGTATTACTCACCAGTATTTTTGTGACCTTTTAGTATATAGAGTGGTGCTGGACTATCCAGTGAGTAAATACAAATATTGTGGTCATTTCCTCCAGTGGCTATTAATCCATGAGGGTACATCTCACTTGACGGTATGATGCATACACAAGATACAAAATTGGAGTGGCCGCTCATACAGTGCATTTCTGTGAAGCCCCTGTTAGGACTGAAAAATATTATAATTAACTTAATATACAATTACCCTTTGACTTAGCCTATGACACAGGTTGCTAATCTATATCAAAAGTTCATTTTTCACTTAGTATTTAGGCGGAACTTTAGAGTGTGTGCTATTTTAAAGTTTCACCATTTTAAACTAAATATTAAATTAAGAGTTAGTGAGTATATTTAAATCAAATATCAAATTAGGAATTTAATGTTTCACTGATAAGAGAATCTTTCTTAAAATTTTTTAAAGACTTTAATTATATTATTATTATTATTATTTTGCTTTTTTGGGTCATACCCAGCGATGCTCAGGGGTTACTCCTGGCTCTGTGCTCAGGAATTACTCCTGGCGGTGCTTGGGGGACTGTACCTGGTCGGCCGCATGCAAGGCAAACATCCTACCCACTGTACTGTTGCTCCGGCCCCACTGATAAGAGAATCTTGCCAGAAAAGAAATGGGAGTCAAGACTCTCCCTGGTCTCATCAGTGAATATGCTATCCAGACTGAGGTAAAACTATATACTTAAGGGCCAGGCCATCGCCATGCCACAGCTGCCATCGGCAAGCACCAAAAGCACCCAGTAGTTCAGGGTAATGCTGGTGGCATCATCACTATAGATCAACTTTAACAAATATTATCTGAGTTACTTTGGGAAATTGGGTGTGAGGCTTTATCACTTAAAGAGAAATCAAAGCTTCTGCCCAACTGTCACGATCACCATTACGATCATCCTGTTGTTCGTCAAATGCCTCAAGCAGGCACCAGTAACGTCTCCTTCGTCAAAGGCATGTGGGTCCCGGGGCTGAGATCTCCAAGCCTGCTCGGATTGGGGCTGAGCATCCTCCACCCAGATCTTTCATCCTCCAGTAGGCGGGGGTCATACCCACCAACTGGCCCCCTGGCGCCGTGTAATCCCATCAATGGCCAAGACGCAGAGACTATAAAACTCAGCTCCCGGAAGAGAACAGCGCCTAACTGTCAATCTTGACAAACTGAAGACCTCAGTCAGTGAACAGACATGGATTAATGCTGCCAAAAACAAGACTGGAGGAACTCCTATCATTGATGTCCTGTGAGTGGGCTATTACAAAGGTCTGGGAAAGGGAAAGATCCCTAAACAACCTGTCATCACGAAAGCCAAATTCTTCAGCAGAAGAGCTGAGGAAAAGATTAAAGCAGTGGAAGGGGTCTGTTTCCTGATAGCTTGAAACCACCTAAAAGAAGGTTCATTAAATACTGCAACCGAGAAAGAAAAGAAAAGAAAAGAAAAGAAAAGAGAAGAGAAAAAAAGAAGGGGAGGGGAGAGAGGAGAGGAGAGGAAGAGAGGGAAAGAGAAAGAAAGAAAAGAAAAAAAAAGAAAAAGAAATCACCAATATCCTAAGTGGCTTTTTCTTTTTTCAGGGCAGTGGGGCATACCCAGAAGTCCTCAATGGACTTTCCTAATGGTACTCGTAGGGAGCCAAGTGGTACTGGAGATCAAGTCCCGAGTCCCTGCCTACAAATTATGTGCTGTATAACTCCTGAAACAACTCCCTGGCCCCTAAATAGCCTTTGCTTTCTTTTAGTGGCTAGGGTTGGAGAGGGGTGAGGGATGCATTTGGGCCACGCTGGCTATGCTCAGGGCTTATTCCAGGCACTGTGCTCAGGGGTCATTCCTAGCAGTGCTAGTAGTACAGGGGGATGATATGGTTGCTGGTGAATGAACCTTACTCCTGTACTCTTTCCAGTCCCATCCTTATCCTTCATCTTTATTTCTATCTTTCATCAGTGACTGTTACTCTATAAAATCCACATTGGAGTGATGCATTCATATAGTCAGGATAATGGAATCCACCTCTAATAAGTCTAAAATACAGTGAAGACATTTCATAATATAGATGATTCCTTTACCCATCGCTGCATTTAAAGATCTAGAATATCATTCATTTTCAATATGCAAATAAGAATACAAGGATATTTACTGGTATTAATAACTGTTTGGGACTAGAACGATTATCAATATTCTTAACTCATCTGTAATCTAGCATCACTATCCTAAATAACAAGTCAAATAATAGATTAGCACTGTAGCACTGACCTCCCGTTGTTCATCGATTTGCTCAAGCGGGCCCAGTAACATCTCCAGTGTGAGACTTGTTATGTGTTTGGCTTATCGAATATGTCACGGAAGCTTGCCAGGCTTTGCCGTGTGGGTGAGATACTCTCAGTAGCTTGCTGGGCTCTCCGAGAGGAACAGAGGAATCAAACTCGGGTTGGCCTGGTCAGCCACATGCAAGGCAAACGCCCTACCTGCTGTGCTATCGCTCCAGCCCAAATAACAGATTATGATGTACTACTAGAAAGTAGGAAATCAGTGGCTGAAAGGGATATAATATCTATGATCGAGCTAAATGAAGAAAATACAACAACTGCGAGTAATAGAAAGATAAAACCTGGGGCAGGAAAGAGGGTAGAGCGGGTAAGGCGCTAGCACTACTTATGGCCGCCTAGGAGTGATCCCTGAGCACTGCTAAGTGTGGCTCCCAAACCAAAAACGAAACAAAACAAAACCAAAGGATGAAACTCTCATATACAGATTGAATAGACTCACGTATTTTCACTCTCTTGCTAAAATTTCCAAAGTACATAGTATTGCTAATTTTTTTTCTTTTTGGGTCACACCCAGCGATGCTCAGGGGTTACTCCTGGCTCTGCACTCAGAAACTATGCCTGGCATTGCTCAGGGGACCATATGGGACACTGAGAATCAAACCCGGGTCGGCCGCGTGCAAGGCAAACGCCCTACCCGCTGTGCTATTGCTCCAGTGCCAGTATTGCTAATTCTTAAGTCCTTGAAGGATTCACTGATAAAATGATTCTCTTTTCCCTGTTACCTTCTCAGAATAAATTTGTCAGCTTCACCTAAGCATATGTAAATACATACATACATATATATGCAAACACAATTATACACACAATATATGTACACATACCTATATTTTTGCATGGATATACACTTTCAAACTAAAATCCACAGTCAAAGAGAGCAAGAAAAAAAGAGTAGGGATATAACTGAACACTCAAAACTCACAGAGCGATAAAAGTAGAAAACTGATTTATCGGGGTGAAGAGGAAGTAAAAGGATTAAGGCACCTGCCTTGCACACACAGCTCCCCACTGATTCCAGGCACCATGAGGTCCCTTGACCACCACCACATGCAGTTGTGGAGGCCGTAAGAACCACAGGTGTGGCCTTAAGCATTCCAGGGTCCTTTTACTTAAATCACCTGTCTGGTTGGCTGAAAAATCTCCAATTGGGCACCCCACCCTCAAAATAGAAAACCAATTTACCAATAGACCATGCAAGGACTCAAGAACTGACAGTACTATATATCTCTAGACAAACAGGGGAGAAAGCGTATTATGTGAAGTACTAAATCTACCTATTTGTGTCCCTTGGTACCTTCCACTTCAGATGCTCGCTCCTCTTTCATTATAGTCTGTGAAGTTCTAATTGCAGTCATTAAAACCCAGAGCTACGGGCTGGAGAGATAGCACAGCAGGTAGGGCGTTTGCCTTGCATGCGGCCGACCCGGGTTCGATTCCCAGCATCCCATATGGTCCCCTGAGCACTGCCAGGAGTAACTCCTGAGTGCAGAGCCAGGAGTAAACCCTGTGCATTGCCAGGTGTGACCCAAAAAGAAAAAGAAAAAACAAAAAAACCCAGAGCTAGATCTTTTTATCTTCCCATGTTCCTAACACAATGTTCTACACAATAAATATTAAGTATTTCTTGAATGAATGGAAAACTAAAGGGGGTGGTGGGGAAGCATGGGGCCATGAGAGGTTGCTCAAAAGGCTGGAGTACATGCTCTGTATGCGGGAGGTCCAGGTTCCATCTCAGCACCGCATCACTTCCAGAGCACCCAAAGGAGTGATCAGGACAGAGCCAGGAGTAACCTCCTGAACACAGAAGCCCCCACGCTCCACCAAAAAAAAAACAAAACAAACAAACAAACAAAAAAAACCCCCAAATACCTATACATCAGAGCAAAACGACTGCTCTTCTCATACCCAGTTAAAGTCTGAATTTCTTCTTTTAGGAAAGGTGACATTCTTTGACTGGCGGGGGCGGGGGGGGGCTGCTAACTATGCCTTGGAGTATGAGGAACCAATATACATTCATAATGGAATCCAAGATCTCCTAAAAACAAAACCTGGAGGCCAGGTAATTAACCCCGCAATCAACCCCTCTGCCTAGGCAGATCATGATTCATCCAGAAAACACCACTATGAAGCTCTCAGCTAGCAAACCCTGTCCAGGCTTCCCAGGAACTTATTTGGGCTGGAGCGATAGCACAGCGGGTAGGGCGTTTGCCTTACAAGCGGCCAACATGGCCGACCCAAGTTCGATTCCTCCGCCTCTCTCGGAGAACCCGCCAAGAGTATTCGATATGCCAGACACAGTAACAACAAAGCCTCCAATGGAGACGTTACTGGGCCCGCTCGAGCAAATCGAGGATCAATGGGAGGGCCTTTACCTTTACCTTACCTTAAACTTGACACTGAGCACAAAATAGGGATTACCAGGGGCCAGTGTGATAGTACAATGGGTAAGGTGTCTGCCGTGTACGTGGCCAAGCTGGAACCCAGGTATGATCCCCAGCATCCCATATGGTCCCCTGAGCATCACCAGGAGTGATTCCTGAGCACAGAGCCAGAATAAGACCTAAGCATCACCTGAACCAAGTGTGGTCCTAAATAAATAAATAAGAAAGAAATCAAGGAAGAATGTTAAAGAATGTTAAGCCACAGAATGTTAAAGGATAATGAAACAGAAGTCCAACTAAAGATCCTGGCTGCCAGGAAAGATCCCTGAGCACAAAGCCAGGAACAAGTCCTGAGCACAGCTGGGTGTGGTCCCAAAACAAAACAAAAAGAGCAAGTGAGAGAAAGAGAAATAGAGAGGGAGAAAGAGAAAAGAAACTGTCAGGATGTGTCATCCTCAAGAACTTTCTGTAACACTAAAGTTATAGACAGAGCATTAAAGTTGAGAGAGGTTCATCTCCCGCTGATTATGTATGTTCTAACCCAAACAAGAGTAAATGAGACTGATAAATGAAACTGATCTCACTAATACCTGAATAAACGTGAATAATTTTTTTAAAAAACACCAACAAAAATCAGCATGAGTTGCATAAAAAGAACCATTTTTCAAACAGAAGATCATTTTCGCCCAAAATTGCTCAGTTTCTGATAAATGCATCTCCAGTAATTTATGCATTCTTCTAACCTAGAGCTGTCCTACCAAATATGTATAAGTTTAATGAGAATATTCAACTATTAAAAACACATCCTGTAGTTACTGCTTACTGCAATGCTTACAGTTTACTAAGCATATACTTCTACTGATCTTAATTTTAAGTACAAGTTTAATTAACAACTGTACTCAAAAAAAGTGTTAAAAAACCCACAAAAAGTTCCATAGTTGTGTTACTAAATGGTTTGGAATATGGAGAACCTTAGAGTTGCAAAGGCCTTCAGTACTCATCTCCTAAGATTCAACATAGAAATCTGCTCTAAGATGCCCTCAGTCTAATCTAGGATCCTATCTTGGCTGCACTACTGCAAAAGTCTACAAATGAATCTACCTTTCACAGTTTTGCCATTGCAACCCAATCTCTCCCAACTAGCAGAAATTTCTCAACGGGTATTTGAGATCATGCGGCTTCCTAAAAGAAACTTTTTGAAGGTTTCTACTAAACCCTTTTCTACTTACTAAACCCTTTTCTAGGCCCTCTTACTAGCAGTATTTATGGCCTGCCCTCCCTATTTCATTCCCCCCACCCTTGCACACAGCTTTTTCCTGTTCCCTGTCCTAAGCCTCATGTCTTTAAGTGCTATATATATATAAAACCCTCATCTCTCTTGGTTCCCACGGCCAGCTCCATCTCTGTATATCAGATTCAAAACAAACAAACAAAAAATACAACAAAAAGCCTTCTGAGGGGCTTTCTCCTTTAACACATCTCTCAACTCTGTATATTTCTTTTCTTCATAGGACACAAGCCAACGTGCAATTACTTCTGTGGCTGGCTTTTCACTCTTCCTCCCTCCCAGGTGTATGAAAGCTCTCTCTACCCAGGGAACACGTGTAGACACGGATCAATCCATCAGCGGGCACCCAAGTCACAAGCGAACTAACTCACCTCAATTTCTCTCTTTCCGAAAAGAAATCGACCACCCAGGTGGTGAGTTTCCCGTTCCAACCAAATTAGAGACAGAAAGCTGCACGCCCCCCCCCACACGCACCCCATGTTTATAAAACATTTCAAGGGGTTCGTCTTCTCTTCCAAGCTACCCCCTTGCCCAACAAACCCTAACTCGGACATCCAAGAGAGGAGTCAATGCAACCTCTTGCCGTGCAGTTTGGGGAAACCAAGGCACTCAATCAAATGTGAGAGAAAACTATCAAGAGTAAATCCTAGAGGCGGGTGGGAGGAAAACTTATCTCCAACACCTGCCCCATGTTCCCAACTCCTCCCAGTTAGGCGATGCATATGGTAGCGAGAAAAACCCCAAGTCTGGAAGTGAACCCAAAGGGATCGTCGTCCAAAGAGGAAAGCCGCCCCACTTCCCCGCCCCCCCCCCCAAAAAGGGTAAAGAGATTTCCACCAAGGTCACCCAACACGTTACTAAGAGTCCAGCTCGCCGAGAAAGGAGAGCGATGTCGGCGGGTCCGTCCACTGGAGAGCTCGCCGGTGTCTAATCCCTGCGTGCCCAGTGGGCCAAGAGGGGAGAGGGGAGCCCAAGGCGGGCCGGAATAAAAGCCCGAGAGCCCGAGACGAGAGGGCGGCCAGGAGCCGGGGAGCGTGACGTCCACTCCGCACGCTGCAGCGGGGGCACCAGCGGGGTCGCGGCGCGCTCACCTGTCCGGGGCCCAGAGGCGGGTGGTGCGGTCCCGGGACACGGACACAAAGGCCCCGGGAGGGTAGAGGCAGCACACCAGGCCCCGCACGTCCAGCTCGTGGCCCGAGAGCGAGCAGCTCAGTCGGTAGCGGGAGGCGCCGCTCGCCATAGCCCTGGTGAGTCGGGGCGCCCGGCAGCGGGCACCCGGCGAGGGGGAGAGCGCGGGGGACCGGGCGGGGCGTGCGCCGGCCCGCGGCTGGACGGGGGCCTGCAGGTGAGGGGCCGTCGCAGACCGGAAGAGCCCGAGTGCCGGCGCGGAAGGGCGGCCGGGGAGGGGCGCGCCGAGCGGGCCGAGTGACACAGCAACCCTGACAGGCAACACCGGAATTCATCATCGGCCCCGGCCCGCCATGACGCACAGCGTGTGCGTCTCGACTGCGGAAGTGCGGGCGGAGCGGAGGCTCGCCGCCCTCCAGAAGCTCCGCTCGAACCTCCCGCTGACGCAGATGCAGGGATGTTGGGATCCCCGTCCCGGCCCGCCAGGTTCTGGCGGAGCCCGAGTGTCCCCGAGCCTCGGCGGAGCTGCTGGTGGGAGTGCGGCAGCGCGCGCGGGGACTACAAGTCCCACAATGCCGCGCGCACGAGGGGCGTGCGCTGGAGGCGCGCGGAATCCCGAGATTTTTCAATCTGGTTTTGCGACGCTGGCGTGCTGATGGAGGGGCCCCGGAGATGGCGTTGGGCAGACGTTGGGATCAACCCTGCTCCTCGAGGTCCACATCTCCTCTGCAATTTCCTGAGATGTTTGCACACGACTTTTTTCTTTTTTTTTTTAAGTTCGACTTTTGATCTTGCGTTTTAAACGAGAGGTGGGGCAAATTAGGAGCGACCGTTTGCCATTGATTCCGTTATAAACACCGGGCTTCCTAGTATTTAAAACTATATTTAAGGGACCTGTAGCAATAGCACAAAGGGTGGGGCGTTTTCCTTGCACGCAGCAGACCCGGGTTCGATTCCCAGCATCCTATATGATCTGAGCACGACCAGGAGTTATTCCTGAGCGCATGAGCCAGGAGTAACCCCTGTGCAACTCCCGGTGTGACCCAAAAGACATAAATGTGTGTGAATATATATATATATGTATATTTAAGATCGTTTCTTACAATGTTGGTCGCACAAGTGACAAAATTCTGCCTACCAGCACCACCGCCATATTGTCTGAGGGCAAGAGAAGAGAAAAAAATTATTCGTAATTTAACTTTTCGCTTGGTCAATGTATTAAGTGATTGCCCACTCCATTCTGCTGATCCTCTATACCATGTGACACGGTGGATGGAGAGGAACACTAAAGGTTATTAATGTGTGTATCTCATCCAAGGGAGAAATCCTGGGATGATAACTCAAATTGGGACTAGAGCTTGGATTTCTCTAGCAGTTACAGAAAGGATAAAAAACCTCAAGTCTGTGGAGGCAGTAAATTATGGTAAGGCAAATATTCTAGGAAGCTACTGGTATACCAGGGGCATTTAATACATTTGCTGATGTAAATTCCTCTAGTACTATTGTTTGGCTTGTGTCAGGGATGCATTTTCATCACCCTATAGGGGAGTATGGGGAGAGGCTTTGGAAATCTGTCCTGTTTGTGGACAACGGTTTATGGGGTATTATAAGCTATTTCTCAGTTTGCCATTTCTAAGTGCCATTGTTTTGGGTACAACATATTTCAGGATGGCAAATTCACAACAAAATAACCAAAAGGAGAACTGATGACTACTAGGAATATATTGGGGCTCAAAGGAGATGCCGGCATGAAAGTGTTTTACAAGCTTTGAGTACTCAGTCCACAAGACAGTTTCATGTTGTATGGCACTGATTTTAAAGCTACTTAGAGGCATAAAGAATGAAAAGATAGCAATCATGTGAATAAAAGACAGTGTTCAAGTGTTGGAAGCCCAGGGTATGTCATGATTATGGCTGCACTTATTTAAGCTAGTGAGTTGAAAATAACAGGATGAATTTATTGGAGATGGAATTTGAGATGAAGCTCCTCAATTTTCTTTTTCACACACACACACACACACACACACACTCACACACATATTTTAAGACCCTTCTGTCTTCCTCACAAATTTAGAACAAAAGAACTTTAAAGGGAATTTTCTTTAGAGGAAACGGATTAAAGCGATATAGCACAGTGGGTAGTGCATTTACCTTGCACTTGGCTGACAGACCTGAGTTTGATTCCTCCGCCCCTCTCGGAGAGCCCAGCAAGCTACCCAGAGTATCTCACCTGCACAGCAAAGCCTGGCAAGCTCCCTAAGATGTATTCAATATGCCAAACACAGTAAAAAGTCTCACAATGGAGACGTTACTGGGCCCGCTCGAGCAAATCGATGAACAACGGGAGGACAGGATAGTTCAGGACAGTGATGGTTCCAGTAGAAGGAACAGTACAGAGGGCACCAGAATCTCATTCCTGTTCAGTGTTATGTACTGTCCTAACAGGAAGAAAATGATCATAAGTAAAAAGAATCACCTACGCCGAAATGTTGTCAAGCAATTTTTCATTGGGGGCGAGGGCTTGGGGTCAGTTCGCAGGCTTGGGTCACACCAAGCAGTGCTCAGGGCTCCTATACTCCTGGCTCTGTACTTCTGTACAGGGCTCCTGTACAGGGCTAACTACTCCTGGCTCTGTGCTCTGGATCACTCCTGGCGGTGCCAAGGATCCACTGCGTTCAAGGCGAGCGTATTAACCCTGTAAGAGTCATCAACTCCTGCATGGCCCTATCAAGTCAACTCTTATTTAAAAGGATAATAAGAGCTATAGTACAGCGGGTAGGGTGCTAGCCTTGCTTATGGACGACCTATGTTTGTTCCAGGCACTCCATGTGGTCCATCAAACCCACCCTGAATAATCCCTGAGCTTTGCTGCCAGGTGTGGCCCAAAAAAACAAAAAGGAAATGACAGATGTGAAGTACTCCCAAAGTTCACACACACACACACGCACACGCGCCCACACAAATGGTCTCTTCTCTGGTCAATTTCAGAAATATGGGAGTTGGAAAACATTGGAGGCTTACTGGGAATTTTGCATCTTTGCTCTGCCACTACTAAGCAACCTCTGGGCTTAGTTGATGTTTAGCTGATAGCCTGATCATATTGTAAATTACTAGTACCACTTATCAACACCCACAGACACAACACACAACACACACACACACACACACACACACACACACACACACACACACACACACACACACCCCACCCCGTGCACGCGCGCACACAAATGGTCTTTTTGGTCAATTCCAGAAATGCGCAGAGGTTTAGTTTCTCAAATCTCGCGACAGCCTTTCCCTCTCGCTTTACTTGTAGGTATCGGGAGCCGGCGCGTCTCATTGGCAGATCCAGAGGTGGGGGTTCCGCCCCCGCCCCGCCCCCGTTGCCAGGGTAACGGGGAGGCGCGCGGTTGCTGTGGCGAGGCCCGAGGGCTTTAGAAACTGTTAGTGAGTGAGGAAGCCGGTGGGCCTTGAGCGTGTTAGGAAAAGAAATCCGCGGGCCGCTGAGGAGTCCGGCCTTCCTCCTGTCGCAGCGGCCGAGGTGAGAAACCCCGGGTTCTCCCTCCCCTTCCCTTTCTGCCTCCTTCACGAGATGCCAAACTCTAGCCCTGGTTTGTATTGCCGTCTCTAGCTTTAGCAAACGCTTCCCTGGAGGTCACCTCCTTCCTGGGAGCTGGCCTTTCTTGGCATGAGCAGAATGGGTGATCGCGAAGAGAAAAGTCACGGACTGAGGCATTTTATTGAAAGCTATCGATTGCTCTGTTGGTCACTGTGATTGCTAGGAGAGAAATCAGGCCAATTGAGAAGTTAGAATCCTAAGTATTGAGTCATTTGGGAACCAAAATACAGGCTAGCTTTTCAAGCCCGTGGTCTCCCTTGAATATGTATGTCACTTGCTTTTCTTCTTCTTCTTCATCCCTCTTTGCCTGTTTCCACCCTGGAGAAGTGTGTGTTCTGTTTCCCACACTTTTCCCCTTCACTTCCCTCATAGAAAGCTACATAAAACTATCTGGCGTCAGAGAGAGAGAGACAGAGAGAGAGAGAGAGAGAGAGAGAGAGAGAGAGAGAGAGAGAGAGAGAGAGAGAAGATTGGTAGATCTGAAACAGACTAAAAAGATTTTAGTTGGCATGGAGGAAGGATAAAAGACCTAAGGCGTAGTGGTGGTATTCCTTGCCCTTCAAAAGAAGTCTCGTTTTTTCTTTTTTTAAGACTTGAAAGAGCAATGCTTTGAAAGTGATGCTGAGGAGAGAGAGAGAACCGTGGTGCACACTTCTTCATTGCTTTGGAATTGTGAAACTGGAAGCTAACCTACCAAAAGGGCTTTATGTAGAAACAGGATTCTTTAAGACTATATAAGTAAAAGGTGAAAAAAAATTTGCAATAAGACTGAGACTATATGGGAAGTTAATCAGAACTCGGAAAGTATAAAGATTGGGAAAGAAGAAAGATATGGAATGTGCGGGGGGAGGGGGTGTGAATAACAAGCACAGGAGATAAGTAGAGAGGCTTACATTTGAAAAGGATAATAGAAATATTAGAAAGGCATTTTGTAAGAGATGATCTTATGTTTGTTTGTTTCTGCAAAGTCATTTTAATTGAAAGAAATTTACTTAGAGAGATGTGAGGGGCAGGGGTGGGTGAATGCCCAGTTTTATGTTTTAAATCCTTATCCTGTAACCTTTGGGGCATGTAGGGGATCACCCGTGTCGGTGCTCAGGACTTACTCCCGGCTCTGCACTCAGGGATCACTCCGGGCAAGGGTCGGGGACCGTTTGTGGTACCCAGGATCAAACCACAATCTGCCTTGTGCAAGGCAAGTGCCCTATACGCTGCACTATCACTGTGGCCTCTGTTATGTAACCTTTCTACACCTGCAGAATGCTACCTGTCCCACACACACATCCACGGAGGGGCAATTCAGAGAGCTGTGGTAGCCTAGTGGTTTCCAACCTTTCTACCTCTGCAGACCTGCACCTAGCGGGAAGCAGGCAGTTGATGACCACTGTTGTCAATGAGATATTATTTGTCCAATTTGAACCGAGTGAAAACAACCTTACTCTTGTAGTGTACCTGAAATAAAATTGGTGAACAAAATAATGAGAATTGTCTGAAGGGGAAGGGATATGAATAACCAGCAGAGTATTATGTGAGTCTTGCTCTAAAGATACTACACTACACTTGATCTTAGCCAAAAGGCAGAGATGGGCTGGAGGGATAGCACAATGGGTAGGATGTTTGCCTAGCGCGCAGCCAACATGGCCAAACCGAGTTCGATTCCTCTGCCCTTCTCAGAGAGCCCGGCAAGCTACTGAGAGTATCTCGCCCTCATGGCAAAGCCTGGCAAGCTACTTGTGACGTATTCAATATGCCAAACACAGTAACAGCAAAGTCTCACGATGGAGACGTTACTGGGCCCGCTCGAGCAAATCGATGAACAACGGGAGGACAGTGACAATGACAGCTCTAAAAATATTAAAGGAGAATTGTACTTTTTCTTGTTTTCAAACAGTGGTTAAAGTGAACCATGGCCAGTAATCACAAACCTCCATCAGCTCGCCCTGTTTCCCGAGGTGGAATTGGGTTGACAGGAAGGCCTCCTTCTGGAATGAGACCCCTATCGGGAAGTGTTCGAGTGTCAACTGGAGTAAGTTTCTATTGCATTCTTGTAGATAGATACTGGTAAGAGTTGAAAACCCTACCTATTAAAGTTTTCCTTTGTTATTTCTTCACTGTATGTTACTGTGGATGTTTATTTGGAAAATGTCCAGCAATATTAAGAGTGGTAGAATGCCTGGAAGGCATCAATTGAGAACAGATGCCTACTTGTGCTGATCATTGAATTTATTTTAAAGCTATATAATTTAAGTGACAGAATAGAGTTGAATGGAATAAACCAGAAGCAGAATGAGACATATGTAAGAATTTAATGATTAAGGAGACATTTAATGATTAAGGGGAATTTAATGATTAAAAAGACATGACATATTCATCAGTGTACTTAAATAATTGGTGCATGAAATACTGATCCTGGGACCAAAGGGAGATTACAGTGGGTAAAGTGCTTGCCTTGCACTTAGTGGGCTCTGTTTTGATCCCTGGCACCCTATGTGGTCCCTCAAGCGCCAGCAGGAGTGTGACTCTTGAACACAAGGCTAGGAGTAAGTTCTGAATACTGCTGTGTGTGACCCTAGGAACAAAATCAAAAATAAGAAATCTTCATTTTACTTAACCAATACATAGAAATGTAGTTTCTTTCTGGTTCATACTATAATTCCTATGCATATGATATTAAATTTTGAAGAAATGCATTTTACAGTCATAATTTCAATTGTTAAAAAAGCATTTTTTAATTACGTTTTGTGTTTTATACATTGAAAAATCAAAACCGTGTTTGACAACTTGTATAAATCAAAATGTTTCAATTTCTCTTTGCAGTCTTAACAATGATAGAGAAGTGGCATTTTTCCAGTATACAAAAATTGAAATCTTGTTTGTCATTTAGATACCACCTGGAACAGCAAGACCAGGGTCTCGTGGTGGTCCCATAGGGACAGGAGGTGTTCTTTCTTCTCAAATCAAAGTTGCTGATCGTCCTGTAACACAACAAGGTTTGAGTGGAATGAAAACTGGAATAAAAGGTATCAGTTTTTAGAAGATATATATATTTTGCATCCTTTCATGAAAAGGCACAAGTGGCATATATCTTTCAAAGGTAGATAACATTCATGCATAAGGCCCTGAGTTTGACGCCTGGTGCCTCATAGTCCACTGCAAACCACCTAGAATGGCCCTTGCCTTCCAAGTCTCACTGGGTGTGGCCCCAAGCAACTGAGGACAGAATTGCTATCAGAGTTAAATTCCATTGCCTTTGTTGTTGTGATAACTGGAGTCATACCCAAGCCTAGCAAGGTGCTAGCACATTTAATACTTGCCAGGTGTCATTTAACAGATTGTGACACTGGTACACTTGCTTGTAGTACTCAACTGAGATTTTACTCTTTCCTTCTGATGTCAATCCTTCACTTGTCAAGGATTGCACTATTTAGTTGAGGTGTGCAAGGCATGATTGTGCTCAGTAGTGGGGATCACTGCGGTCTTCACACGCAGGGTGTCACACTTGTTGAATGTGACGTTTGCATAGCTTTTCTTTATTTTTTTCTTTTGGTGTCCACACCCGGCAGGGTTCAGGGGCTATTCCCAGCTTAGTACTCTTGGAGGGACCCAGGGATCAGATCAGGCCTACTACATGCAAAGCATGCTCTCCAGCCCTTGGAGCCAGGTCCCCTGCCCTGCATCTCTTTTTAATTGTGGGAATATCACACCTTTGTGATGTTTCCACTTCTGGCTACAGTGCATTGAAAATCATTTGTGGTGGCGGCAGTCACAGACAGCACAGCTGCTGGTATCAGGCTTCATCAGGTGGTGACACTGAATGTTTGAACTTGTGGTCATACACCTGAGGGCACTTAGGTGAGCTATTTCTTCTTCATTTTTCTGAAATGAAACTTTGGGATAATTAGGAGAAATTTGAAACAGCTTTAATGCTAAGTCAGGATTGAGACTCAGGTTTCTAGGACTGGGAAATAGCAAGTGCCCCCCTGGGCTCAACTTGCAGCCACACCCGACCTCTTGGGCAGTTTTGGGTGCAGCCTGGGGGCCCCTGGACACCAGCAGAGTGACCCTGGTGGTCCCAGCATCTCAAGCCTGGAGCACCACTACATGCTCAGGCCCTTGCGGTGAGTGCTGGCCTAATTATCCAAGTGTTCCAGAATACTTGAGACACGCTGGGCCCCAGGAGCACCACTTGGGCGACTAGGGGAGTAGTTGGGGAGAGAATTAGATTCTAGTATTGTGTAGAATTACTATGAAATACTTAAAAAAAAATCCCTATCAAAATGATACTCTTAAAGAATTGCTTTGATTCTTTGTGTATATATATGTCAAGAAACATTACTTTTTTTGTTTGTTCTATTTCTGGATTTTAGTCATATTGGTAGGTGCTCAGGGCTTACTCCTGGCTCTCCACTGGGGATCACTCCCGGCTGGCTCAGTTCCATGTGCAGTGCTGGGCATCCTACTGGGTCTGAAACATGCAGGGTGAATACCCGACTCTCTGTACTATCTCTCAGACACCAAGAAATGTTACTTTTTATGACAAAAATGAGTATGCCATTACTTTTAAATAGGAAAATGGCACAATATATAGTTTGTATTTCATTATGCCTTTTTATGTGTAGAAAAAGCATAAGAATAAGCAGTACACTATATTATGATTAAAAGACTGGTTTGTAATATAATTAACAAAATAATCCCTCTCTTCTTCACCAGAAAAAACCAAATTTTTTAAACTCAAGAATTATTTTTATTTTACCATTTTGTAAAATGACCATGCTTTGGTCATTTATAGTCCACACATGAGTGAAGCTGTTTGGTATTTTTCTTTCACCTCCTGACTGTACTCTTAATATATTTATGTCATGGTACATTCTTGTTTAATGAACAACTTCATCTTTATTTATTTATTTGGCTTTTTTGGGTCACACCCGGTGATACTCAGGATAGCTCTGCACTCAGGAATTACTTCTTGGCAGTGCTCTGGGTACTATATAGGATGCAGGGGATCGAACCCTGGGTTGGCTAAATGCAAGGCAAATGCCCTACCTCCTGTACTGTCACTATCCCCAGAACTTCTTCTTTAATAGCTGGGTCCTATAACACAGCTTGATTCATTATTTCAGCACCTACCTTTTTCTCTGTGTTACTGACTTGAAATACCTTACTCTAGGCTTTCACTGTGAATCTGTGTTTTTCCTTAAGATACTAGTTTTTTGTATGCATAATACAGATTGATTCTGCCTTTTTTGTTCCCCAGAAAATGTCTTCAATTTATCTTCTGTATGACTCTGCTTCAGATTTTTGTTTTGTAGTTACCTTAAGGGCTGGAGTGATAGCACAGCGGTAGGGCGTTCGCCTTACAAGCGACCAACATGGCCGACCCGAGTTCGATTCCTCCGCCCCTCTCGGAGAGCCCGGCAAGCTACCGAGAGTATTTGATATGCCAAACACAGTAACAACAAAGTCTCCAATGGAGACGTTACTGGGCCCGCTCGAGCAAATCGACGATCAACGGGAGGGCCTTTTAGTTACCTTAAGGTTTCTTGGCCTCCAAAGTTCTGCAGTTCATTCAACTATCATGCCACAAACTCCCACCTACCTCTTCCAGAAATAGGTGAACTCCCACCTACCTTTCTCTATTCACCCAGAGAATAAGCTTTTGGGTACCAACAAACTTTAAGGTACCAACTTTCAAAATGCAGTTGCTTGGATCAGATGCCCCTCAGTGATAAACTGATGCATATTTTATGTGATATATAGTTAATTTCTAGTTGTGCATCTTAAATTTTTTGTGGAGGGTGAGGCATACTTGGTGATGCTTCAGGGGTTACTCCTGGCTCTGCACTCAGGAATTACTGCTGGGAGTGCTCAGGGTATCATATGGGATGCCACGGATCAAAACCATGTTGGCTGCATGCAAGGCAAACACCCTACCCGCCATACTATCGCTCTGGCCCCTCTTGTTATGTTTTAAGGTGATTTTTCCCTAGCATGGCCTGTTTCTCCACTGCTGAATTTTTTTATAATGAGTTTTTTATTTTCTGTCATGACAACTAAATTATCAAGGATAAGGATACTTTACTGGTATAAAATTATGAGATACTGTACTATCTCTTGTAATATGGTTTTTCATACCTTTTAGGAGACTTAAATATTTTTAATGTGTGTTATATTACATCTTGGCTAATTTAATGTTAAAAACTAACTTTTAGAAATTTTTAATAATTGATAGTGTGAAATATTTCAAAGTCGTTTAAAGTATATTTATGAAAATGTTGCATGTTTATTAAAATTTATAATAAAAATATTATAGAACATGATTTCTAATTATTAATTAAAATAATAAATTATGATTGAAAAGTTTATAGAAATTTTTTTGTTTTTTGGTTTTTTTTTTGCTTTTTTGGCTCACACCCAGCTATGCACAGGGGTTACTCCTGGCTCTGCACTCAGGAATTACTCTTGGTGGTGCTTGGGGAACCATATGGAATGCTGGGGACTGAACCCCGGTCAGCTGTGTGCAAGGCAAACACCCTATCCACTGTACTGTCGCTCCGGCCCCAGTTTATAGAAAATTGAACATTTTAACACTACATTGGTTTCTACTTTAAAGCAGAACCAATATCATTTAATGTAATTAGCTTCTGTCATTATACATCAAAGCCTTGCCTAAAGATTTTTGATTGCTACCACTACGTGACATTCTCTGCTGCCCTCTTTTTTCTTACCTTCTCTGGTACCTCCGGTATCCTTTTATTTATTTTTATTTTTATTTTTATTTTTTTTGCTTTTTGGGTCACACCCAGCGATGCTCCGGGGTTATTCCTGGCTCTGCACTCAGGAATTACTCCTGGTGGTGCTTGGGGGATCATATGGGATGCCGGGGATCGAACCCAGGTGAGCCGCATGCAAGGCAAACGCCCTACCCACTCGCTCTGGTCCCACCAACAGTACCCATTTAAGAAGACATTCTGTACCTTGTCTCAGTATTGCCTTCACGGTCAGTACTCCTTAACTTTACCTCTCCTGCTTTCTAAAGTACATCATCCCTCTCATGATTTGGTGCAGGTAACCTGAAAATGCTTTCTAGTTTCTTTCTTTCTTTCTTTCTTTCTTTCTTTCTTTCTTTCTTTCTTTCTTTCTTTAAATGTAGGAGTTTTGCTATTTATTCAGCCATTGATTTGGGCATAGACTCCACCTTACTTTTTTATAAATTTATTTATTGAATCACCGTGATAACAGTTACAAAGCTCTCAGGTTTAGGTCTCAGTCATACAATGATGAAACACCTGTCCCTTCACTAGTGCCCATTTTCCACCATCAAAAACCCAAGTATACCTCCCATCCCACACCCTCACCCTATCTGTGGGGCAGATGATTTCCACATTTCTCTCTCTCTTTGTTGATTGCATTCAATATTTTGACACCAGACCCACCATTATTATTTGGAATTTTACCCCAACACTCAGATATTCTAAAAAGGCAACCCTAGGCAATTTGTTTTCTATTTCTGATTATGAATAACATATGATGTTGCACAGCCGCAGTAGTGGCCATGCAATTTTAGAATTCCGAAATTTTAACAATTAAATCTCTGGGATCATGGCCATTAAGCAGCTTCATCAGGAGCCAGAGAGGCCGTTCGTGGGCAGGAATTCGGGGTCTTGTTGGGGTGGGGAGGAAAGGGCCGGCTCCACCCCCATCCCACGAGGCCCCACATGTCTCGTCATTACAGGCCCAAACTTGACTGTCCAATGGCCGCTGGAGGATGGTGGCTACTGAGACGCCAAGAGGGAGCAGGCGGAGGGACAGCACCCTTTCCCCCCTGGGGTGGCCCGGCGCCAGTAACCTACTGTGGAGTCTGGACGCATTTCTGCCAAAAGCCGCTGGGTTCTGAGATTTGTTTCTGAGTCTCTGGGATCATGGCTGTTAAGCAGTTTCATCAGGAACAGGAGTCTTTGTCTCCAATTGTATAGCTGAGCCGGAGGTGTTTTGTGGGTGTGTCTCCCACATACCTAACTTTTGGCTGTTTACTTTCTTGGTAAACTTGTCCCCAAGTTGTTGGGGTCTGGCCAAAGACACAGCAGCAATTTGGGGGTATCAAGAAGTCTGCAGGCACCATCTGGTTGCTGATGCACTTGCCTCACAGGTACAGATTGACCTGCTGGCGGGACCATACCTCCGCTTTTTAGTTTTAATGAGATGTAAGACTAGGCATTACTTGCTTGCTTTGATTCTTTCTGTTTCTAAAAATGTCTTACACTATTTGTGAAAGATCAGAGTCTTTCACATTGAAAGAGTCACCTTCTAAAGCTTCAGTTCCATTTTGGTAGCTGATAACAAAATGTAGCACTGCACTGTACTCCCGTTGTTCATCAATTTGCTCAAGTGGGCCCAGTAACGTCTCCATTTTGAGACTTGTTGTTACTGTGTTTGGCATATTGAATATGTCACGGGGAGCTTGCCAGGCTTTGCTGTGCGGGCAAGATACTCTTGGTAGCTTGCCGGGCTCTCTGAGAGGGGCGGAGGAATTGAACCCGGCTTGGCCAGGCCAGCTGTGTGCAAGGCAAATGCCCTACCGCTGTGCTATTGCTCCAGCCCTAACAAATGTAACAATTTAAATTAATTAAAATGAAGTAAAATAGGGGCTGGAGTAATAGTATGGCGGGTAGGGTGTTTGCCTTGCATGCAGCCAACCCGGGTTCGATTCCCAGCATCCCATATGGTCCCCTGAGCACCACCAGGAGTGATTCCTGAGTGCAGAGCCAGGAGTAACTCCTGAGCATCAGGTGTGACCCAAAAAGCAAATAAAATAAAATAAAAAATAGTTTTTTTTGCGAGATTTTGGGCCACACCTGACAATGCTCAGTTGTTGCTCCCACCTCTGCACTCAATAATTACTCCTGGCAGTGCTTCAGGGGACCCTCTGGTATGCTAGGGAGATCACCTGGGATCCCAAGTATTGAATCTGGGTTAGCTGCATACAAAGGAAATGCCCTACCGACTGCACTATCTCTCTGGTTCCAAAGTAAATTAAAAATTTTGTCCCCTAGTAGTACCATACTGGCAAATTTCATGTCCTCAGTGATCCCTTGTATTGGACAGACTGGATAGTTTATTTCTGTGGTTGCTTAAGTCCTTTTGGGCAAGCCTGTTTGGGACTCCTTATACCAGAATCAATTCAAATTAACCTTTGAATCTATTATCTTAACACCCACACCTTTTGTCTGATATTTATAGTCTTAATTCTTATTAAAAAAATTAAATGTCATGATGGTATAATCTCATTTCCCTTTTAATGGTACTTCTTGATTATCACATTTGTTGCAGCATTCATAAGCAATATGAGAAAATTATGTAGAGTAATCCTGGTTGTACTTTAGATTTGCTATCTTGGTGACATTTCCAAACTGTACACTAACACCTAATAAATCTTTTTTTTTTAGGTCCCCAGAGACAAATTTTAGACAGATCTTACTATCTTGGTCTTCTTAGGTATGTTAAATAAATGATTTTTCCCCCTACGCATGACCATAAAGTCTTAATTGTGGTAATTATTGGCAATTAGGCATCTGCAGATTTCTAGAATTAGTTTATATTGTAACAGTAGTTAATTTGGTTGTGCTACAAAATAAAAAAAATTAAGCTGAAATTTTAAAAATTTTATTTGTTTGCATATAAGTGAACTATTTCAAGTTTACCTTTTTATCTACTAAGAATACTATTTTAGGGGCTGGAGTGATAGCATAGTAGGTAGGGCATTTGCCTTGCACATAGCCAACCCGGGTTCAATTCCCAGCATCCCATATGGTCCCCTGAGCACCTCCAGGAGTAATTCCTGAGTGCAGGACCAGGAGTAACATCTGTGCATCACCAGGTGTGACCCAAAAAGAAAAAAAAAAAGAATACTATTTTATACTTTTTATTACTTACTTTGAAATTTTGTTTATGGTACTAAAATGTCACCAAGTATATTTAGTAATAAAGGGAAATGTATTTACTGATAGCACAGCGGTAGGGCGTTTGCCTTACAAGTGGCCAACATGGCCAACCCGAGTTCGATTCCTCCGCCCCTCTCGGAGAGCCCGGCAAGCTACCGAGAGTATCTCGCCCGCACGGCTGAGCCTGGCAAGCTCCCCGTGATGTATTCGATATGCCAAACACAGTAACAACAAAGTCTCCAATGGAGACGTTACTGGGCCCGCTCGAGCAAATCGATGATCAACGGGAGGGCCTTTACTTTACTTTTACTATTATACATTTAATTCATGCAGAATTTTACGTATGTTTTGGATAGTTGTTACAAATATGACAATTTTAATTAGTTTATAGTTTTTCTTTTTTTTAATTCACAAGCCTTTGTTTTTACTTTTTTAAATTTTTGGCCACACCGAGCAGTGCTTAGGGCTTTCTTCCTGCTTTGCACTCAGGGGTTATTCCTGACTGGGTTTGGGGGCACATGGGGTTCCAGGAATTAAACCTGGGTTTCTCTGTGCAAGGCAAGCACCCTACTCACTGTACTATCTCTCCGGCCCTGCATCTTTTTTTTTTTCTTTTTTTTTGGGGGGGGGGGGTCACACCTGGCGATGCAAGAGGATACTCCTGACGGTGCTCAGGGGACCATATGGGAATTGAACCTGGGTCAGCCGAGTGCAAGGCAAACGCCCTACCCGCTGTGCTATCTCTCCAGCCCCTACCTGCATCTTTTTTAATACTAAGGAATCTGTGTTAGTATATCATCATTTGGGATGTACTACTTCTTTTTTTTTTTTTTTTTTTTTTTTTAGTGTATCACAAGAGTGCTTCATTTCTCTCCACCCTGCCATGGTCCCAAGGACCATTCCCCCACCCTGCCAGCCCTACCCCATGTAAACTCAGTTTTATAGGCAGAATCTTCAATTCCAGTAACTTTGGCTCTTTATTGTTTCCTTAGTATGTTTCTTTATTTTTCATATATGAAAAAGAACATTTTAATTTGTTGTGTAGCTGGTGACACCTATACACAAAGAGATGAATAACGCTTAATTCCTGAAATTGCAAAAATAGTAAATAAGTTGATACTCATACATGTTTTTCAAAACCTATATAATTTTTACTGTTCATTGATTTGCTCCAGCGGGCTCCATTAATGTCTCCATTGTGAGACTTCTTGTTACTGTTTTTGGCATATTGAATACACCATGGGGATAATCCCTGAGTGCAGAGCCAGATAATCCCTGAGTACAGAGCCAGGAGCAAACCCTGAGCACCTCTGGGTGTGGCCCACTTCCAAACAAAAACAAAACATCAAGAACCCAATAACAAAAACCTGAACTCATTCCTTTCACATTTGTCTCTTTTTGATTTTCTGGGGTTGGATCCATAGCACAGCAAGTAGGGCATTTGCCTTGCATGCGGCTGACCCGGGTTTGATTCCTCCCTCCCTCTTGGAGAGCCCGGCAAGCTACGTAGAGTATCTCACCCACTCCGCAAAGTCTGGCAAGCTCCCCATGGCATATTTCATATGCCAAAAACAGTAACAGCAAGTCTCATAATGGAGACGTTACTGGTGCTGCTAGAGCAAATCGAACAACTGGAGGACAGTGCTATATAATTTTTACAGGCTTATAAATTTAAAAACTTAATATAAATCTATGCTACTTTTAAATGTTACATAAGAAAGAAAAATCCTACAAATACAAACTTTAGTTAAGAGAAGAAATTTATTTTTTCATATTTTATAATTTTATTTATTGAATCACTGTGAGAACAGTTACAAAGCTTTCGGGTCTAAGTCTCGGTCACACAATGAAACATCCGTACCTTCACCAGTGCCCAATCTCCACCCCCAACAACCCCAGTATACCCCCATCCCACACCCTCCCCCTACCTGTGGGGCAGATGATTTCCACATTACTCTCTCTCTAATTTGATCACATTCAGTATTTTGACACCAGACCCAACATTATTATTTGAGATAATTTAAGAGATGAAATAAGCTTCTTAAATTAGTTTTTTAATAAAGTTTTAGTTAATAACTTATTAGTTACACATTTATATATGTTGGTTCTGTTTGACTACGCCCTTTTGTGGAACAGAAGTATTACTGACTTTCTTCTTTTCATTTAGAAGTAAAATAAGTGAACTTACAACAGAAATTAACAAACTTCAGAAAGAAATAGAAATGTATAATCAAGAGAATTCAGTGTATTTGTCATATGAGAAGAGGTAAGTAATTTTCAAATTAAAATATGCATGATTTTTATTAAGTAACATGTAATGTACCAGCAGAATAATACTGAACTTGTAGTAATCTATAATTTTCTTAATGTTCATCAGTTTATTTCTGTGTTTGTGCTTATAGAGCTGAGACTTTGGCTATTGAAATCAAAGAGTTTCAAGGACAACTGGCAGACTACAACATGGTAATTGCTCTTCAGTTTTGGGAAATTTGGATATTTTCATTGCTTTTTACCATCTTAAAATGTATGACTTTACATGAAATTTACATACAAGTGGTACAATATGGAAAGTATCATGCTAAGCGAAATGAGTCAGAAAGAGAGGGATAGACATAGAAAGATTGCATTCATCTGGGGGATATAAAGTAACAAAGTATGAGATTAATACCCAAGAATAGCTGAGATCAGCACCAGGAGGATTACTCCATAACTTAGAGGCCAGCCGGGTATCCTAGAGGAAAGGGCAGCTCAGATAGAGAAGGGAGCACCAAATAAAGGATGTTTGGAGGATCCTCCCAGGAGGGGAGATGCATGTCGAAAGTAGACTATGGACTGAACATGTTTGCCACTCAATGCCTCTTTTGCAGACCACAACACCCAAAAGGAGAGAGAGAACACAGGGGATTGCCCTGCCACAGAGACAGGGGGGATGGGGGGATGGGGGTGGGAGGGATATTATCCATGGTGGTGGAAAATGGGCACTGGTGGAGGGATGGGTATCTGATCATTGTATAATTGAAACCCAAGCACAAAAAATTGTAAATCTACAACTTTAAAAAAAAATAAAATAAAATAAAGGGAAAAAAAATGTATGACTTTAAATAGCAAATAATACCTGAATATGTTTATTATATAACATTGAGATCATCAAAAACATAAATATTAAAGTATTCCTTTGCTTTCCTCTTTCAGAAATAATTTGCTTTAATAAATTGATAAAAATTTCTCCAGTGTTTTAAGTTTTTTTTTTCTTTTTGGGGTCACACCTGGCAATGCTCAGGAGTTATTCCTGGCTTTGCACTCAGGAATCACTCCCGGCGTTGCTCAGTGTACCATATGGAATGTTGGGAATCGAATCTGGGTCGGCCACATGCAAGGCAAAAGCCCTACCCACTGTGCTATCACTCGAGTCCCCAGAATTTCTCCAGTTTTTAAGAAAATAAATTCATTTATAAATATTTTAAATGGTTATAAATTTTCCATTTAACAGTATTAACAAAATGTTTAAAGTTGTTGAAATGTATTGGTTACTGTCATTGATTATAAAATATATTTACCTTTCAATGGTTTTATGGGAAAAGATTGTTTCCTTATGCAGATTACTTCCATCTGTATGTTTCATTCAAAATAAAGTATTTTTATTCTAAGAGTATGCAACATCTCATATCTACTAGTGATATTTCCTAATGTGGACTTGCTGAAAAAATAATCCCTTTAGCAGTTGATAACTGTCCCAATCTTGACCCCAATGAAAATTTCTAGTGTCAGTGTTTCCTTTCTAACTCAATAGGAACTTTCCTCAGGTTCCACTGCTATCTTAAGTGCCTTATAGACACTTTAGATAGCAGTGGTATCTAAATTCAGTGAAAGAAAAGTTTTTTCATCTCACTTCTATTAAAAAGTTTTGTTCTATAAAAATATTGAGGGATAGTAACTGAGTACACCAAAACCATATATGTTAACACTATATAAACATCTGACCTAAACTATTAACTAAAATATTTTTAAGATAGTGAAATAATGAAATTTATAGTGAAAAACATACATAAATTAAAGTTGTATTAAAAAATTAGGAAAGAGTCTACATTAATGGTTAAATAAGTTAGGATTTGCTTACTTGATATTATTGTACTGAACTTTTATTAATCACATTTTTAGGATCAATTATACCCAATTATACCCAACTTTGTAACTCCACAATTTATAAAATTTTTTTAAATCTCTAAGATGTGGACAGTAATATCTAATTTATAGGATAATTGTCAGATTAAGAATTAAGTATATCAATACATTCAATGGGCTCAGAACAATATTTGGTGCAAGATAAATATGTTACTGTTGCTTTTATTTTCCGCATTTTAAAAGTAGGAATACTAGGGGCTGGAGCAGTAGCACAGTGGGTAGGGCATTTGCCTTGCACGAGGTCGACCAAGGTTCAATTCCCAGCATCCCCTATGGTCCCCTGAGCACTGCCAGGGGTAATTCCTGAGTTGCAAAGCCAGGAGTAACCCCTGTGCATTGCCAGGTGTGATCCAAAAAGCAAATAAATAAATAAATAAATGTAGGAATACTAGTGCTCTGTTTATACCTTTTTTTTAATACTTAGTTGCCAAAGAAATTATTTTGCATTTTATTTTTGTGTTTGTATTTCTTTTTGGTGGTGTGGGGAGTGTCACACTTTATGAAGCTCAGGGGTTACTCGTAACTAACTCTTAGCTCAGGAATTACCCCTGGCTGTGCTCAGATGATATGCTGGGGGTCAAACTTGGGTAGATCATGTGTAAGGCCAGCACCTTACCCATTGTACTATCACTCTGGCCCTCATTTCGCTGTTTCACTGGTATAAATTAAATCTACGAGTTTTTAACACTGTCTCCTGGAAGGAGGGGGAGACACTTTTTCTCAGTTTTATATAATCTCAGACAATAAAAAGACAAAACTCTTTGAGCTATGGTTTGCAGAAAGTGTAGTTTGTTACTGATCTCTTTACCACTTTAAACTGTGAAATGTTGTTTGTTGAATGGCCTAATATTTAGTAGATGCTAATGTATGCAGCTCTATTTTTTAAAATACATATAATTCTTAATACTTATGTGACTAATCATTTGTATGATAGTTTATGTATATTATTAATAGTTTAGAAAATATATAAAGGCTTTAATAACAATGTTTTTAACATCTTTTCAATTTTTAGTTGGTAGATAAACTTAATACCAATACAGAAATGGAAGAAGTAATGAATGATTACAATGTGGTAAGAAAATTTTTAAGAATTATATATTTTTATTAGTGAAAAACCATGTGGTACCGTTGTAGACTTACAATTTTTTGTGCGTGGGTTTCAGTTATACAATGATTGAGTACCCATCCCTCCACCAGTGCCCATTCTCCACCTCCAGTGCTCCCAGTATCCCTCCCACCCCCTAACCACCCCATCCCACCCCACCCCTGTGGCAAGGCATTCCCTTTTGTTTTCTCTCTCCTTTTGGGTGCTGTAGTTAAAGCAAAGCATTTTTATCTACTGATAGTTTTATAAAACCTGTGGACATTAAGTATAACTATAAATTATTTACTTCTTTTAATATATATTTTTTCACAATATATTATTTTGCCACACACAGCTGTGCTTAGGTCTTACTCCTGGCTGTGTGCTCAAAAATCACTCCTGGTGGGCTTGGGGACTATATGGGATGCTGCAAATTGTACCTAGTCAGCTGAATGCAAGACAAGTGCCTTACCCACTATATATTATCTCTCCACCCCACTCCCCAAATAGTTAATTTTTGTATTTTTCCCCTTTTTTTATAATTTTATTTATTGAATCACCATGAGAGCAGTTACAAAACTTTCGGGTTTAAGTCTCAGTCATACAATGAAACACCTGTCCCTTCACCAGTGCCCATTTTCCACCACCCAAAACCCCAGTACACCCCCATCCCACACCCTCCCCCTACCTGTGGGGCAGATGCTTTCCATATTACTCTCTCTCTACTTTGATTGCATTCAATATTTTGACACCAGACCCACCATCATTATTTGGGATTTTACCCCAACACTCAGATCTGCCAAAAAGGCAACTGTAGACAGTTTGTTTTCTTTTGCTGATTATGAATAACATATGATGTTGCGTGGCTGAAGTAGTAGCCACTGGAATTTGTAATTTCAAAATTTTAACAATTAAATCTGGAGGGCCGACCCGAGTTCAATTCCTCTGCCCCTCTCAGAGAGCACGGCAAGCTACTGAGAGTATCTCGCCAGCACTGCAAAGCCTGGCAAGCTACCCGTGCCATATTTGATATGCCAAACACAGTAACAAGTCTCACAATATTGCTGGGCCCGCTCGAGCAAATTGATGAACAATGGGAGGACGGTGACAGAAATCTGGAGGGATTTCTGCCAAAACTTGCTGGGCTCCGAGATTTGTTCCCGAATCTCTGGGATCATGGCCATTAAGCAGGTTGATCAGGAGCCAGAGAGGCCGTTCGTGGGCGGGAACTTGGGGTCTCGTTGGGACGGGGAGACCAGGACCGGCTCCACCCCCATCCCGTGAGGCCCTGCGTGTCTGTCATTGCGGGCCCAATCCTGACTGTCTAGTGGCCACTGGAGGATGGCTGCCACCAAGCCTCCATGGGGGAGCAGGTAAAGGGACAGCACCCTTTCCCCCCTGGGGTGGCCTGGTGACAGTAACCTACTGTGGGATCAGGATGCGTTTCTGCCAAAAGCCACTGGGTTTCGAGATTTGTTTCTGTGTCTCTGGGATCATGGCCGTTCAGCAGCTTCATCAGGAGCCAGAGAGGCCATTCGTGGGCAACGACTCAGGGTCTTGTTGGGGCGGGAAGGAAAGGGTCGACTCCACCCCAAACCCGTGAGGCCCTGTGTGTCTCGTCATTCCTCAGTATTTAGGAATTCTCATATAAGTATCCTAGTTTGTAAATTAATTTGCAACATGTCTGGCTTAGTATTTATACAACTAGAAGTAGATCCTCAATGGATATACTTTTACACTTTACATAATTTTTTTTGTTTTGTTTTTGGCTTTTTGGGTCATACTCCGAGGTTACTCCTGGCTCTGCATTCAGGAATCACTCCTGGCAGTGCTTGAGGAACCATATTGAGATGCCAGGGATCGAACCTGGGTCAGCTGCATGCAAGGCTAATGCCCTCCCCACTGTAATACCACTCCAGCCCCAATTTTTTAAGTAAGAAAAAAAAATATGATGCGAAGCATAATCCTACTTTTTATTGACAAATAAAATTTCATGTTCAATATTCTTGGACTACATGGTAGAATATAACACATTTTATAATTTACTAGATTACAGTTTATTTGCACAATTAGAAAGTTTTCTGAAAGTATAAATTTGTAAAGCGACTTTTTTTTTTTAATGTAGGAGTACTCCTATTTATTCCACCATTGATTAAGCTAATTGAACTGGGCATAAACTCCACATTACTTTTTTAAAAATTTTTTAATCGAATATCTGCAATGGGTTGGAGCACAGTGGTTAGGATGTTTGCCTTGCACGTGGTCGACCCGGGTTTGATTCCTCCATCCCTCTTGGAGAGCCTGGCAAGCTTCGGAGAGTATCCCGCCTGCACAGCAGAGCCTGGCAAGCTCCCTGTGGCGTATTTGATATGCCAAAAACAGTAACAACAAGTTTTACAATGGAGGCGTTACTGGTGCCTGCTCAAGGACATTGGATATATGTGAGATAGACCATACAAAGCTGTTTATAATTGGGTTTCAGTCATACAAAGATCCAGCACCCAAGCCTCCATCAGTGTATATTTTCCACCACCGATGTCCCCTGTCTCCCCACCATCATCCCCCAATTCCCCACCCCTACCCCCAGCCTCTCTATATGAGAGGCACTTTCCTTCTTGCTCTGTCTCTCCTTTTCCTTTTATGGAGCGGTGCTAAGAGGTCATGGCTTGCAATAAAGGTGCTAAGAGGTCATGGTATTGTTCAGGGCATTCAGTATTTTTATTGGGATGGTAAGGCTGGAGTAATTTTTCAATTGGGTGACAGCTTTGGGGTGTGATGACTCGGTGACTGCCAAGGCTTCTGGAAGTACAGGGAGCTCGGGGGAGATATCCCATCCTGACCCTAAGAAAGCCTGGAGATTTCAGTTACAAAACCCGCATACCAAAATTTTCAGGAAATTATATCTTGGTGAGGTTCGTCCTGAGACAGTGGAGAAAGTGACTCTTTTATAATTTGAGATACTAAAGCATAATTAAAGTGAATTTTTTCATCATGTTAGAATTCAGGAAAATTCTTAAGTTAAAAACTTTAATATCGAGTGCAAAAACCAAAAACTTCTCTTTATGTTTTATTGGCTATTATATTGAGTAGGTCCAGCTTTTATACTGAATTTGTACAGGTAGAGACAACTAGCATTACAGTGGTGAAATTCTGAATAATTTATGATTAAAGCTTTTGTTGAATTTAAATTCAGCTTGTTAATAAAAAATTTATTTTTACTGAATTGCCAGTATATTCTTGAAATATTATATAATTTAAGGTTAGAGTGGATTATTTGATATCACCAATGAATATTCATTAATATTTCTGCTATAAGAATATACTGCCATGAAAAAAACTGGTTTTTTGTCTTGTAACTTTTTGCTATTGTTAATTTTTATTATTTTAGTTGTTGTAGATTTTAAATTTTATTTTTATTTTTCAATTGAATCACTGCAATTGAATACACAGTTACAAAGTTGTTTATGATTGTTTCAGTCATACAATATTCCAACACCCATCCTTTTACCAGTATACATTTCCCCCCATCCATGTCTCCAGTTTGGTATGAAAAAAATGTTTTTACCTTTGCATGTGACATTTGGTTTGTTATTATCATCTCTTAATTCATAATCAGAATAAACTTTAAAGAAATACTTTTGTTATGGCAGAGACTTAAACCCAAAAGCTTTGTAACTGCTGTCACGGAGATTCAATAAATAAAATTATAAAAAATGGGGGAAAAAAAGTAAGATGGAGTTCATGCAAAATTCAATCAGCCTAATCAGTGGCTGAATAAATAGCAGTATTCCTACATAAAAAAATACTTGTGTTAATAGTTATTTTTTATTAATTTTCCTGTTAACATTTTATTCAGCTTAAAGCTCAAAATGATCGAGAAACACAAAGTATGGACATCATATTCACTGAAAGACAAGCGTAAGTATAATCATTTAGTAATCACATTTATTTGGGAGCTATTTTATGGCCTTTATTTTTAAAGTAGTTTATGTAATTTACTTTATTACGCATTTTATTTTTTGAAGGAAAGTGGGACATACCATACCTAGCAGTGCTCAGGGGTTATTCCTGACCCATGAGTGACCCTTCACAGTGTTCAGGGGATCATTTATGGTGCAGGTATTCTAACTGGTTCAGCTGGATACAAGGCAAGCACCTTAACCCCAGTTCTGTCTCCCCAGATCCCATTTATTCTCTTTAAAGAATTTTTCCATGTGATTTTTAATTTTAAAAAATGACAAACTTACAATACAAATTTTATTGTATGAATGTCTGCCATATTCATTTGTCATTAATACCCAGATTCTGGACAAAGAAAATTATGTTGATTAAATAAAATAATATTTCTATTTATTAATTTAAAATTGAAGTTATGATATATATAAGAACATTTTATCTTTATCATTTATGGTTTTATTTTTATTTATTTATTGCTTTTTGGGTCACATCCAGTGATGCTCAGGAGTCACTCATGATTCTGCACTCAGAAATTACTCCTGGCAGTGCTTAGGGGACCATCTGGGATGCCAAGGATCGAATCTGGGTCAGCCACGTGTAAGGCAAATGTCTTACCTGCTGTACTATTGCTCTGGCCCCACTTATGGTTTTAACCTGAACATTTTAACCAGTTTGATTATAAGATTTAGACTTAAGCCTAATGAAATGCATACAACTAGCAAGCTACTTACAGTTTTTCATTACAAGTTATGTTAGTGAGCTTGGTATAGTGTGAAGTTCAAGGCACTTGCTTTGCATGTGGTCAACCCCAATTTGATCCCCCACACTGTGTTTGATTCCCTGAACACCACTGGAAATGACCTTTTTTGCCAGAGCCAGGAGTAATTTCTGAGCACCTCTTGGTTTGGCTCCAAAACAAAACAAGCAAAAGTTATATTAGTAAGCTATATCATAGATGTCTATTTTAAGTGTAACTTTACATATGTGCATAATATAAAAGACACCTTTAAGTAACTTTGTCTCTGGTAATAAAGTTGTGACAGTGATAGTGATGCCTGTCACTATCAAGTACATGTACATGTGAAATAGAAGTCTTTTTCTTAGTTTTCTAATTACTGTAACAAAATGCAATAAATTGAGTATCTTACAAGCAATGCAAATTTATTGTTCAGGAACCTGAGTCATAGTAGTGTGGGTAGGGCACTTGCATTGCATGCAGCCAACCTGGGTTTGATCCCTGGCTGCATATGGTCTACCAAGTATAGCGAGCGGGCCTAGTAACATTGTGAGACTTGTTACTGTGTTTGGCATATCGAATATGCCACGGGTAACTTGCCAGGCTTTGTCGTGCAGGCTAGATACTCTCGGTAGCTTGCTGGCTCTCTGAGAGGGGCGGAGGAATCGAACTCGGGTTGGCCATAGAACCAGGAATAACCCCTGAGCATCGCCAGATGTGACTCAACCCCAATCCACCCAAAACATTTATTATTCACGGTTCTAGAAGCTGGCAACTTCGGCAATGGGGCACCAACATGATTCTTTTCTATTAAAGACTCTTTCAATGGTTCATAACTAGTGACCTAGTTTGACTCTGACCGTTTATGATGAAAAGGACTACAGAATTCTCAGAGATCTCTCTGTCAAGATAATAGTCCTTTCCACTGAAATTCCACCTTCATGATGTAATCATCTCCTAAAACTTGCCTTCTTTTCCCCTCACCTTTGGAATTTAAGAGTTCCATTTAAAAATGTTGGAAGGACACACTATAGCACTGTCCTTCCCCATTGTTCATCGATTTGCTCGGGACCCAGTAAAGTCTACATTGTGAGACTTGTTGTTACTGTGTTTGGCATATCGAGATACTCTCAGTAGCTTGCTGGGCTCTTCGAGAGGTGTGACCCAAAAAGCAAAAAAAAAAAAAAAAAAAAAAAAAGCTGTTATCCACCGCCTACACAGTTGGCAGCACCAAAACATATGTCCAGGGAGGCACTAAAACACACTTTGGGCTGGAGTGACGGCACAGCACTGAGGGCACTTGCCTTGCACATGGCTGACCCAGTTCAACCCCAAGCACCCTGTATAGTCTCCCACTGAACACTGCCATGAATAATTCCTGAGTAATTCCTCAGTGCAGTACCAGGAGTAACCCCCAACATGGCTGGGTGTGGCCCCCCAAACAAGAACCAAGCCAAACAGCCCACTTCTTTGGAGCCGGAGAAATAGTATAGTGGCGAGGGCACTTGCCTTGCACATGACCAACCTCTGGTCAGTCCCCAGCCCCACATACAGTCCCCTGAGGCTGCCAGGAGTAGTGATCCCTGAGCACAGGAGCCAGGAGTCATGCCTGAGCACCGTGCCCCACCCATGCAAAAAAAAAATCCCTAATGGGACCCAAGAAACAGCACCGTGATTGGGAAGGAGCACCTGCCTTGCAAGTGTATGGTCAAGAGTCCAAGTCCCAGTCCCAGGTCGCCCACATGAGTGGAGAGGCCAGGCAGCTCCCCCCATGAGCCTGACAGCTCTGCCATCCGTGAACCCTGGTGCCACAGACTCCTATGATTCTGGCTGCACCCCCTCTGTGACCTTTGGCAAGCACTAGTGAGTGACACCCTGAGCCCCCACATAGGCACAGCTGCACCGTGCACCTCAGCTGACATGCACCTCAGCTGACGCAGTGGCCGGGAAGGCGCGACTATCTGGGGATGTGCTGTTTAGCCCCCCTCAGGGACCACAGTCTCCCACAGCCACCAGCAGCACAGCCGGAAGCAAACATGAGGGCGATCTGACTGCGACATTGTCACCCAGGGTTGATTCGACTGATCTGGCTGGCTAGGCTGGTGTCCCTTTCCTCCCTCACTGCTCCATGTGCATCCCTCCCGAAGCTGCCTGCTCAGTCGAAGAGGACGGCCTTCTCCGAATAGAGCCGGACTGGTCTTCAGTTGAGGGTATAACGAGTAGCTGTGCTCCCCTGCTAGAACCTCCAAACAAGCTCTCAACGAAGGACACAAGCATTCAGAAAATAGCAGTAGCCAACATAATTATTCTTAATTGCCTTTTTGACCTTCATTATTAACATACATTTGCCCCCCAAATTTATCATTAATGACTTTAAAAGCAAGGATAATAATCAAGTTTACTGAATTCTCTAATATCAAATGTATTGCATTTTACCTCTGCATATATTATAAATATTTGACAAATAGTATATTAAACTACTGATAAAAGTACTGGAGTGAGAGCACAGTGGGTAAGGAACTTGCCTTGCATGTGACCACCATATGTTACCTTCAAACAACAATCCCTGAATGCTAGAACCAAGAGTAAACCCTGAGCACCACTGGGTATGTCCCCCAAAAACAAAAGTAACCAATCAATAAATAATAAAATAATGATAAACATTTAAATAGAAATATAATTTTGTGCTTATTAAAAGCAAAAGGAATTTCTTTTCCTTTATATTATTTAATATTGCAATAAGGTACAGTGTTAAAAACTACAAATATTGGAAGTCTCTTCCATTTACATACAAAATTCCATATTCAGATGATTAGCCTTTTTCTTGAAAATTCTCTAGTTATTGCAGTTGTTGTTCTGTTTTTAAATTATGTAGCAAATAGTTATCATTTACTGTGTAGTACCCTAAGAGGTATTCTGATACCCCAAAGAGCATTAGGGTTATTATAGTGATGTCTTTGTTGATCAGGATGTTGCTTACAAAAATGGCCACTTTGTAAAAATTTATGAGATGATTTGAGATGATTTTTAATGATAAAGGATCTTTTCTGCACATATGATGTATATCAATAAGAATGAACTTGAGAGACTGGAGTGATAATACAGCGGGTATGGCATTTGCCTTGCACACGGCCGATCGGGGTTTGATCCCCGTCATCCCATATGGTGGGGCTGGAGTGATAGCACAGCAATAGGACTTTTGGCTTGCATGTGGCCAACTTGGCTGATTTGAGTTCGATTCCTCTGCCCTCTTGGAGAACCCAGCAAGCTACCGAGAGTATCTCGCCTGCACAGCAAAACCTGGCAAGCTACCTGTGATATATTCGATATGCCAAACACAGTAACAACAAGTCTCACAACGGAGACATTACTGGGCCCGCTCGAGCAAATTAATGAACAACGGGAGGACAGTGCTAAAGTGCTATCCCATATGGTCTCCCAAGTACTGCCAGTAGTAATTCCTGAGTGCAGAGCCAGGAGTAACCCCTGAGCGTTGCTGAGTGTCACCTAAAAAGCAAAAAAGCTAAATAATAATAATAAGAAGAAGAAGAAGAAGAAGAATGAACTTGAAGGGCTTAAGAGATTACTTAAAGGGCTGAATACATGCTTTGCATGCAGGAGGCCTAGTTTTGATGTCTGGGATCATATGGTTTATGAACATCTTTAGGAGTGATCTCTTAGCACAAAGCTGGGAATATTCCCTGAGTACCAGCAGAAGTGGCTCAAACTGCCTCCAAAATGATTCTACTTGTTAAATAAAAACTTCCCTAAATACCTAAAGAAAAAAAAAAGGTAGTCCATTGCAGACCTTATAGAGTTTAGCATATTTAAGTTTCATTTATTATTTATCTATAAAGTTATATATACCCAGATCTATTTTATAGATATTAAATGTGAATATTTTATACTCATCATCCAAAAAATAATTCTCATATTATAGTTTAAGATTGTTACAGATTTTTTTGTTGTTTTCTTTTGCTGTTTTGTTTGGGGGTCACATCTAGTTATTCACCGAGCTTACTCCTGGCAGGATTCATGGGATGATATTCAATGCCAAGGATCAAACTTGATAATCTGCGGGGCAAGAACCTTACCCACTGTACTATTTCTTTAGCTTTTGAAATATTGAAGATTTTATGTCCTTCGTAATTTTATTTCAAAGTAATTTCTAGGAAAAAAAATCTTAAAGTATGGTAGGTTTCTCCTGAAAAAAATCAGCAGTTTC